ATTTGGGAATTTGCTTGTAGCTACCCGATGTAATTCTTCCAGAGAGGTACCGTTCAGCATCGCAATCCACAATGGATTGGGGGCGGTTATATCTGATTCTGGGTGCAACCGAATGTAAACTGGCATAGATGGAGGAGTTACAGATGGGAACGCTTGTGCAGCTTGATTGACAAATTGTTGATCTGTATATTGGGGGTCCGCAAATTGGGTTTGCATCCCACGAACCATTAAATTTGGATCATTGGAAGCTGCGTTGAGTAAAGATGGATCGATCTGAGATGGATCAATATGCATGTCAGTGTGATTTTGCATATTACCATGGCTGACCATAACAGGCGTATGAGCTTGAGGTTGAGATTGGGCGTGAGCCTGGACTTGTTGATGAACCTGGGCTTGAGCCTGAGCCTGAGCCTGAGCCTGAGCTTGTTGGTGAGCTTGGGCTTGAGCATGAGCCTGAGCATGGGCTTGAGCTTGAGCGTGGGCCTGACGGGCTTGTGTATGCATGTGGGATTCTGGTATTTGCATATGTGACTGAACTTGGTTCTGCGAGTGGGCATGAGCATGCGCTGCTGTTTGAATGAGAGCTTCCTGTGGGTCTTGTTGGAAATCTGGAGTTTCCTCTTGGTTGTGGTGGAATTGGTCCATAGATTGATCCGGTTGGAAAGCATTCTCGAACTTTCTCTTCTTCCTGGTTGGATCACGTTTAGTCTGGTCATCTCGAAGACGCTTCATGACATCTCGACATAAAACCTCCATTGCCTTAACTCTTTGCGCATGCTGAGGATCAGCGTCTCCCCCAGCAAGTAGATTTAGTAGTAGCTCTGAGCCATTGATCCAGGATGTCTTGAGCTCCTGCCAGTGTTCCTCTCCAGCTTCAAGCTTACTGGTGAAATGATCAGCTTTCAATATCTGATAGAAAGAATTACGGAGTTCCCTGGACTGTTCTGGATTTACTCCCAATGCATTCTTGGCTTCGGCAATCGTCATACGACGCTCCAAAGTTCGCATTCTTTTTGTCACGTCGCCGCAAACAACATCGAGAGCTAGCTTTCTTGCATCCAAATTTTCTTGTGTATTCCAGAAAATTGATTGTAAATGTTCACTCTCTTGTATGAGGCTATCCTTTGCAGCTTCCCAACGCTCGGGTCCAGCGAGTGTCTTCTTTATGATACCTGCTTCTTCACATATGCGTTGAAATCGAGCCCTTATATCACGATACAAAAGATTATCAAGTCTTAAGAAATTTTTGCTTTCATCGATGGTGGTTTCGGAAGGGAATCGGGGGGGTCCTGGAGGATCAGCTGGGAGACCAGCCCAGCCACGAGTTCGACGACGACGCTTGCGAGAGTTCCATTTTTCATCGGATTCGGCCGCTAACTTGGATAGGCGCTCCTTTCTCTTTTGCATGACTTCAGGACTAAGTGGCGGGGACTCAGCTCTGGAATTTTCCTTGGACATGGATGAAGCTGGTGGTAACCCTTCCATTTGTCCTTCTATCGAGCCTTCCATCTGTTGTTCTCCCTCTAGCATTGCTCCATTATTGTAAAATGCCTGTTGTAGTTGACTTTCCACATCCTGATCCGTTTGTTTCTTTGATTTATTCCCATTAGGTACTCGTAAAAGCCAGCGATTCTTGTTTCTGACGCGCATAAGTTCACGTTCCTTGATATCCCAACCCTCTTGTTCGAGAATGGTAACCATATCGCGCTGTGATGTATTGATGTCCCATAGTTCTTTGATGCGTTGAACGAGGGGTTCGTTCTTGTGTGCCGGATTCTGTTTCGAAGGGAAACCCCATTTTTTGAATTGAGTTTGGAATGCGCGTTTACTTATCAAATGTCAGTGACGGTCAATCGCGATGATTGTCAAAGCGAGCGGTACGGGTGGGTATATCGATCCGTGATGCATGATGTTATGGATGCCATAATTTACTACAGCTATGATTATAGCTCGTAGCGCAGTGCCATGGGAAGCTCGATAAGATATAAACTTACGAGGGATTAAAAGACATATTTTCTTTCAAGTATTCCATAATCTCCTCCAATGACTTTTTCTCTTCAATGTACATACTATAGCATAATTCCTGTTTGTTATCCCAATCGTATACCATTTTGGCGGTTGTTCCCCAGACCGTCACCTATATAAAAATAGATGACAAGGTGACAAGGTTTTGATACTCGAGGGGTTTATCTATGGTTGCCGTTTTTCGGGGAACAAAAAGGTGGAAAACTACAGAGTATAGAGGTTATGGGTGGGTTTTGTGTGCACGGCTAGTGTGTAGCTATTAGTCATCATCGCTCGTCTAGAGATAGTGGCGAGCTAAGGTCACATGATACCACTTTAGTTATCCATTCACATTTTTATTCACTTGACATTTCAACGAGTCTACGGTATACTGTATGTATCTGTTTGGGACATATCTAAACACATCTTAACCTTGGAACTCCCCTTTCTCTATCCATTGTCGATTCATTCAACTACCAAGGTATTCAGATAAACCACCTAGAGCGAAGCGAAGAAGCCTCCACGGCAGTGGCCCAGCGGAGCGTCATTAACCAATCTTCTCACCTCAACTAGAATTGCATTCTAGATATCTCTCTGGACCTGGTGAACATCTATTAAGACTCCCCTCTCCAAACCTTCCTTAGACCTCCCTTCTTCCTTCACTTCATTCAACTCCCTCTCATCACACCAAGTCGCGAAACCAATCACTATGAACGACTTAACAAATGATCGTGGCATGAATAATTACCTCGTGGTTTCGTCTACACATCGGCACCTCTCCTACAACTTGTGCCATGGCAAAATCGGACCAAGCTTCGATAACTCATAAGGCGCCACCAATACGAGGCTGAGTCTAGTATCTTTCCTATCTCTTACATTTTGATGGTTCAAAAGACATTCAATTCAATGAAAGTCGGCTGTTACGTACGTCATTGGGCATTTTCATGCTAAATGCTCGATTTCACTACCCCACAGTTCTCAGATTACACTCTTTATTTCTTTCTACACATCATATACAGACTTCACTAACCCGTCAACACGAAATTTCTGCCACACGTCGACTATTACTTCATCATCATATATACCATCATGCCTCAAACTTTAGATATTCAACTACAAAATCGTTACCCTTCGGATCAAGTTTATGCTTATATCACGGGGCTGGCATTAAACAACAACAATCGTGTCTTTCTCCTGAAAGCCGATGGAAAGACACCATATTACCCTGACTCTCCACCCCACACTGTGCATCCACTTTCAGCAGATTGTGCTGTTAGATTGGGGAAACAAGGTAGTACCACTATTGCCACAATCCCTCTTCTTGCTGGGGGAAGGATCTGGTTCTCAATAGGGAAGAAATTGGAGTTTTTCGTCAATCCAGGACCAGCATTGGTTGAGCCATCTGTCACCAATCCTTCTGATCATAACATCAATACCAACTGGGCATTTTGTGAGTTTACATTCAATCAAACTCAAATTTATGCCAATATAAGGTAGTTCTGCCCATCGCCCGATGCCCTGCAAGATCGCTAATATGCAACAGTTATGTCGACTTTGTCAGCTTGCCAATTTCTATGAAACTTATACCTGAAAATGGCAGGCCACAAGAAATTCATGGTCTAAAAGCAGATGGTCTAGAGACTATCTGTGAAGGCCTGAGAACACAAAGTCGAATTGACGGCGCAGGGTGGGACAAATTGGTTGTAGAAAGTGGTGGTCAAAAACTTCGAGTATTAAGCCCCAATCACGAACCGGGTTTTGATGGCTACTATGAATCTTACGTCAATGAAGTGTGGGACAAATATACACACACATCATTGATTGTCGACACCCAAGCTGAATGGGGAAAGGTAGAGGGCCGTGTGGGCAACGGGCAATTAACATTTCCTGGTCTGGCGACATTCTCGAAGCCATCTACTGCAGATATCTTTAGCTGTAGTTCTGGTCCATTCTCCAACAATGCTGGGCCGGCAGGACCTCTCACGGCTCGTATCAGTGCGGCATTCAATCGATCGACATTGTTAAGCAACAATCATCAGCCACACAAGGAAAGAGTATCAGAGTTTTATCGACACAAGATCTCTAATCACTATGCTCGACTTGTTCACGAAGCAAATCACCATGGTCGGGGATATGCTTTTCCATATGATGATGTTTCATCCGGTATGGAGACTGATCAGTCTGGTTTTGTTAGTGGATGGCCAAAGTCGTTTACTGTTTCTATTGGTTGAGCGTGAGTTGATGATGTCTTTTGATACACATCCGTGTAGTTTTCCTAGACTTCGAAGTAATCTCGTCTTTGTCTTCAACAAGAAAGCCATGGAAAATATCTGCGCATTAACACGAAGGCAATTCTGCGTTTAATTCTCTCACAACGCTGTTGGCAAAGTTCAAAGGCTTTGCTTTTGACTTGGCCGAGAATAACGGATAGACGGCCAATAGCCAGACCGTAAGTACACATCATGAACAGCGCCAGGGGCGAGCCGTTATAAAAGAGGAAAGGTTCCGGCTACATAACATCGCAAACTATGGAATCAAGTCTTAGATCTATCATTCTCCAGCTCTGTGAATATCTATTGAACTACTCTGCTCCTTTAAGTGAAGTGCGGCTGTTTTCTGCGCTCAACATGCTTCAAGCTTCGAATATGATTTCACATCCTTGCTACGCCTCGTCTCCGCTTTCCAGGCTTTGGGCAGTTGTTAAAGTGTGCCAGACACAGCATTTTTTTATCGACTTTTGTAAAAGCTAAAAGCCTTGTGAAGTGTTATGTAGTGTAGCCACAATTTTGGTCATTTTCGTGCTCATATCAGTATCCGGCTCTCCGAGGATGCACGAGGTGACCACGAACCTTCGTGTATTGTGGGGTATCTGCAAGATTTCACGTACATGTTTGGATATATCATATTCTTTTAGAGATGCAGAGATGCAGAGATTCTAATTCCCAATGCTATTTGTACAAACGCCATTTATCTATTCAATGAAAGCTTTCCCCTAGTCACAACTTGGATCCATTCGTTTTACAACAACTTTCTTCCTTTTCCTTCGTACTTCCCTCTCCCACCAGTTTCGACGACATGTTTCTCGAGCTAGGAACATCGATCGATGGGTTCGCCTCAAAGAAATCTGCCGGTTTGATCTTCAACTCATGGATCTCCACCGGCATGACCGGCCAATCTTCCACTCTTGGGTTATGTGTTAATCCAAAACAATTCCAAACAACCACATCCTCTCCCTCCTTTGCTAAGGTGTCTCCTCTCGCGACTGCATCGCCAACTCCGTCAATTTCCTTGCGACTCTGAAGCGTGTATTTTCCACCAGCAAATAATTCGCCATCCTTGTATTTCGTAACCCATACATGATGTTGAGCGAATCTCGCCCGTTGAGCTTGGATACTCTCATCCTGCGCAAGCAACATCTGTGTCGCAGCGGGCATGAATTTATATCCTACGTTCTTTCCGCTGATTGGATTTTGCTTCCCTGGGTTGACCATCTTCACAACCATGTTGTTCATTGGCTTAGCATCTAACCATGATGCCCTTTCTACTTGCTTGGAAACCACTTCATAGAAATTGCCATAGGGATTTCTCTTCTTATCAGCCACGGCATGGGATTCCTCAATCAAGACTGAATTGGCTGGTCCATCGATAGCAGGATCAATACGCACACAGAAAATATGTTGATGATTCTGTGCCAAAACACCAGGAGCCACAACATTTCCGTATTCACTCTTCTTACCGGCATCAATTGAGACAACGGAAACGATACCCGTAGCACGTGTCTCGACAGTGATACCACCCGCGAGATCAAATTTGTATGCAAAGATGTATTCGTAATTGGCCAGGGTGATGATGAATTGAACGACTAGTTCGCGGTGACGAGTCACCACTGCACGGTTGGTACGCCAGTTTGTGTGCTTCCAGCCGATGCCGGCATCTTGTTCGTGGAGACAGATGACGTTGGGGCTTGTGGAGACGGTGCCGTTACTTTCGGTTCTGGTGCCGTCGAAGTACTGTGAATGTTAGATATTGTGAGATTTATCAGATGCGGCGGGACTGGGGAGATACGAACCTTGATTACACCTAGACAATCGCATCCTAGCTCGAGGTTGTTGGCACAGTTTCCTGCGCCACCATCTCCGAAATCGAAAGCTTGCTTGCGGAAATAGGGAGATCGAGCATCTGCGTATGGAACAGTCTATTTATAGGTTCATTAACACCACATCCTAACCTAATCCAAGAATCAATCGAACTTACCATCTCGGAAATACTCAATCGATACAAAACACTTCTACCATCATAATGCACATCATGAATAGTAGCTCCCTCCCTGTGATTAAATCCCACTCTGAATCTCCACTTCTGCCACTCCACCAAACTATCATCTTCTCCCACCGTAAAGCTCGCGCCTTCGGGTTGCACCACATTAATAGGTTTCATATCCTTTCTCGTCCCATTCTCCAATAACTCCGGTACATATTCCGCCGGCTTGCAATGTTTCAAAATCTCCTTGTCGTGCGTGCCCACTTCAAACCCATCTTCGATACCCCCCGTAGCGAGTTTATCAACCCTGACAATCTCCTTGGTATAATAATCCATGACTGGAATCAAAGGAAGCGGATACCCATAGAAATTTGAATTCGGGTTTTGATGCCGCGTGTCTTGGGCAAAACACAATCCTTGGAAGTATCGAGGATTTTCCTCCGCGTTACTTCCTCCGTACGGCCACGGCTCGACAACAACTTCGAATCCTGCGGGGATACTCAGCTGCGCGAGTTCTTTCTTGAAAACGGGAGATGCCCAGACGGCTTTGACTAGCTCGTCGAATTCGCCTCTGGGAGTTGGGTTAGCTCATTGTGTATGTTGCAAATAGATGGAGATGGGAGATGGGAATGGGGATTACAACATACAAAGTCAACATCGCATGATGATTTTCACTAATCACCTCTCTATGCACCTCGATGCTCTCTTCCACATCCACGAGACTCTCGTGATATTGGGGGATCTTACTACTTCCAATAACATCATACGTTACTCGTGCGAGTCTCTTGGGGTAAGGAGTCGAAGCATCTAAAGCGCCGGCATGTTCTATTTCTAGAAATTTTTGGAGCTCGGCTTTGAGCGGTTCTTCGAGCGCGATGGTGCGGAAGGAGATGAGGGCTGGTTTGTGGGCGGCTAAGATGGTGTCGCGGGCGATCTTGGATTCGGGGAGGGAGATTTGGGTGAGGGGGTGAGGTTTTGAGGGTAAGGGAGCCATGGTGCGGGGTTATTGGTGTGGTTTGTGCTGTGGTGGGAATGATATTGGATTCTAGTTGACAAAAAAATAAAATAAAAAGATCCAATGAATGAACTGAAGAGTACAATCTCACTGTGCAACTCGAATAAAGAATATGAAGAAAGATGCAGAATGTAAAGCAGCTAAGAGGAAATAAACAAACTGTTATAGTCACAAAGCGTGGTACGAAGTCAGTGGTAAACGTTTCATACTATCGGTTATGTGCCAACATCGCGCTCACTTACCCGGCTTGGAAATGATACACATTACATAAATGCAACTCATCCGATTGCACGCTCCATTCCATCTCGCACATGATTGGTAGATAAAAAAACTCCATCGGTTTATCTCGGGTATCTCGGTTGTCGTCGAAACACGGGTCCGGGTATCTCTGAATACCCGGTATCGTTAGTTAGGTAATACCTATCAACAATCTCATGACCGATTGTCCCAAATACTAGGATCCACTAGCGCTGTTATGCTGTGAGGATTGTACATGGCAGACGTTTCATTCTCGTCTCAACGTCGGCATTCAGTCTTATTAAGCTTTTTCGGACTAGCTCAAGATGACAAGTTCAAAATTACAGTCCTTGTATGGGCTTGATAACGGAAAAGGTCCGCTTTCTGTTGCTTGGGGGTTTGATATGAGATTGAGATTGAGATAGAGATAGGCCTGGAGTGTCCTACACCTCCTCGTTTTCTCGCCTATCTTGATTTGAAATGTTTGTTTTGATTCTGGTGTTGTACAATCAACTTCAACCATATTGATTTGGACATATATTGTAAAGTTTTCTTTCAACATGGATTTCGAAAGCGAGTACAAGAAGGAGGACATGCTAAAAGCGTCCCGGCCGTCATTAATTGGAACGGAAGAAGAAAAGGGGGAAGCTCTAGTGACAGGGCATGTAGAGGAACTACGCAAAGAATTTTCGGTCTGGTCACTTGGCTCATTATGTCTTTGCTTGATGGCAACTTGGGAAGCGTTATCTAGCGTTGTAGCAGCAGCATTGGCAAACGGCGGAGCCCCATGTCTTTTCTATAACTAGTAAGTTATATCAGACATACAAACGAGACGAATCTCATTAACATTTGTGCAGCTGTATTTCGTTGATCGGGAGTTTGGCGATATCATCATCACTAGCTGAAATTGCGTCCATCTGGCCGACTGCTGGCGGTAAGGAATAACCCAACAAACAAATATATTGCCTAACGCTGACATAACGTAGGACAATATCATTTCGTCGCCGCTCTCGCTCCAAAAAGTCAAATGAAGATTGCATCCTGGTTCACAGGCTGGATCTCCATTGGTGGGCAAATCGTTCTTACAGCATCAGCGGCATTTTCCGCAGGACTGCAATTCCAAGGCCTCGTAACACTCAATAATCCAGATAGCTATGTGCCAACAAGATGGCAGGGTATGCTATTCTACTGGTTGGTCCTTCTATACTCTGCTGCTGTGAACATATGGGGATCGAAGATACTTCCACACACAAACTTAGCATCAGGTAACTTTCTCCAAAGCACAAGATAGTCCAACAGAGCTGATAGTCTTAGGTATTCTACATTTAACCGGTCTCGTAGCAATCATGGCAGTACTTGGAGCAATGGCACCCAAGCACGATGCTCATTTTGTTTTTACCGAAGTAACGAATACCAGTGGCTGGGAAAGTGACGGGGTATCATGGCTTGTGGGTCTCTTGAGTGCTGTATATCCATTCCTTGGGTAAGTTGTAGCATAGCCCCCATATTACTTTGTACTGATTGATCCACAAAGTTATGATGCGGCTTGTCATTTAGCAGAAGAGATGCCACGCCCTGCACGAGATGTTCCAATTGCTATGGTCGGGAGTGTTGCTGTGAATGGAATCTTGGGACTTGGGTATTGCATCATGCTATTGTATTCCCTTGGCGACTTGAACGAACGTAAGCAATTATTTTTCTCCTACTTTCCACCCATGAACGCCCCGATAAAACAAGATTCGACCTTCGGAAGACCTAGCATGAGGAAGATTGCTGATAGTTGTAATTCTAGTACTTGCATCTCCGACTGGCTTCCCGTTCATGCAGCTATATCAGAACGTCACGAATAATACCGCTGGAGCAACAATCATGGTCCTAGTTGTCTGTTTTATTGCCATAGCTGCCAATGCGGCTGGTTGTACCTCAACCTCAAGGACATATTGGGCATTTGCTCGGGATTCCGCAACTCCATACTCGAAGTATTTCGCTCACATCAGCCCGACCACACAAGTACCTGTTCGTGCTATTGTAGCACTGACTATAGTGGAAATGTTGCTTGGTCTGATATACCTCGGGAATAGTACTGCATTCAATGCCATCGTATCAATGTCCGTTCTGGGAATGTATGCTTCCTATCTTGTGCCAATTATCTACATGATAATCTGTGGTAGGAAGAGTATTAAGAGAAGCCAATACGGACCATTTAGGTTAGGTGATACATTGGGATTGCTAGTCAATGTTATTGCTGTTGTTTGGCTCCTCGTGGCGATATTATTTTGCACTTTTCCCAGTGTGCAGCCTGTCACCGCACAGAATATGAACTACAGCGTGGTTGTCATGGGTGGATGGTTGTTTTTCGGTGCGATATTCTATTTCTGCTTAGGAAGACGGGATTATAATGGACCCGTTGGGATTATTGAAATGTAGAGGTGGTAGTATTATAGAACCGAGATTGATGAGCGTAATGACGTCGTTTTCGTGAATTGAGCCATGGAACTTAGAGATTCCACTGCTGATCACTCTCAAGTAAAACTCGAAGTTCTTCATCTAGAATATAAAATTCATCGGAAGAATCTCCAAATCCTCTCAAAAACTCCCAGTCCTCTACTGCTCCAGGTTTCGCTGTGCCAGGAGTAGTTTCTGCTGTCGAGTGTCGAGCATACATTGATTCCTGCTCAGATAGAAGCTGTGAAGATGTTGATTCTTGGGCATCGACAGCTGCGGCTGCATTTACTAGGGTCGTCATGTTAACATCTCGTGGCATTGCTGATACTTCAAAAATTAGCCACAAACTTGTGAATTGCTCAATCAAGGACTTACAATCTACCAAAATCTGTTGACGGGCTCCAGCACTATTCCAACTTCTCCCGAGAACAGAAAGCCAGTGAATACACATCTTAAGGCGGCGTTGTGATTCTGCATTATCACCTCCGTCTGGTTGCTTTGATTGATATAAAAGCGTGCTTGCAGCTGTAAAAATACTAAATACCATGTCACATGGCAGGCCATAGAAATCATCGAAGTACTTCTCTAAGATAGTACAAATTGCATTCGCACTATTCAGGCAAATCTTTAGTGGGTGCGCCGAAGCATTGTTATTTGCAGGATTTGATATCCATCGAGCAATGAAAGGGCGATGTAAAAGAATCACCCCTGAGTGCATAACCTAGATTCAATGAGCAAAGAATAGGCATCAATAGATTGCACACTTACAACATAGTTAGTAACTATACCAGGGACTGATGTTAAATGGCTGCTCAAATCTAAGCGTAAGGGAGAAGCTTCAGTATCACTCTCCCACTTTTGAAAAGAAGACCATAATTCCATGCGTTTTCCTTCACCAAAACTTGGATCATCCCGAATTGATCTCCGGCTCACCAATCCATACACTTCCCTCGAAAGTCTTTCCATTATGACTGAAAGTTGAATAGTCGTCACAAGGACTGACAGTGTATGCATCTTGCCAAGAATATGCATGTTAGTTGTATTCTGTCGCTTCATTCTACTGGGAAGTAGTTCAAATTCATCCGCCTCGGAGGTAGATGGATATGGAGTGTCAGTTTCCTCGACTCTTAACATCACTGGTCTCCCCATCTCACAAGAAATCATCTTCTCGAGAATGTATAGATTCCACCAGAGACGATAGCGAATTTCACGCTGTGGACCATGCGCTTCGTGAGGCCTATGCAAGCGTAACTCGACAGCCATTGATGACGCAAGTCCACAGAAAATCGCCGCTCGGGAATATTCAGCTACACCATGTTGCTGCAGCGAAAGGATTATCAATGTTTGGCAATTTGCGATTGAAGGAGTGAAAGCATTCTTCAATGATTTATCACTGGTATCACTACTTCTTTGTAGCAAGCTCAGGGATTCCTCGAAATAAAAGCGAGGCTCTTCCGATTCCATGACGTGCGGATCATCTAATGGCTGTGGAGAAGGTTGAAGCTTTTCTACACAGGCCGCGATGGCGAACATTGCACATGCTAAGACATTTGGGATGCTTGGTGAAGGATACGTGTAATCGAATGAAGTGTACATTGGTTTGTACAAAATCGGCCATAGTGGATGAATACAATCGAAGTAAGTTTGAAACAAACGCCTCGTTACCTCAGCATTGAAAGGGTATTTCCTTGGTCCGGCATCTTTTCTTTGCGATGATGAGCTATGGGTATAGCCTGAAGATGGCCTAAGAGAGCCTTGGAGAATAGGTGGTGTGTCAGAGAACGTAATAGGAAGGCGATTACCTCCTAAAGGTTGTTGAACAGGTGATGAATTAGATGAGTTTTCACGACCGGCAGTGTTTGGGCTGATATGTTTCAATAAGTATCAAGGGTCTATAAAACATTCAATCAACTACGCACCTTCTATCATCATTGAACTTTCGTGGAAAATGCCCACGTTTTGATATACCATACGAACATTCTCCGTTTCTCTTTAGACAAGGGCCGCACACGGGAGCCCCGCCATCACACTGTGAATTGACTGGTCAATGGCTAGATTCATTCTCGCATGTACACTGTACGGTAGACGGTAGGGATTTACCTTTATTTTCTTAACGCCACATGGTTTACAAGCTTGTGATATTCTCTTCCGGCTTGACATATCGAGTAAAGGTTTGTCGTCGCCGATTTGGTCGTATTATGTTATTTTTGTCGGAAGTGAAGGTGGAGAAGACACTAAGAATTCTACGGTAGACAACAAATACCGAGACGCGAATATCCTGGCCCAGCGAGATATGAGAGGGGGCGAAGGGGCGGAAAAGATGGATTGAGGTGGGATGAATGGATGGATGGATGGATAGATGGATAGGATAGATGAGTTCAGAACTATAAATTCTGTCTATCCGATAAGATAGGTAATGATGATGGACCCGGGCGAGTCATTTCTTAACTGTATCAGTAAAAGGGGGTTGTGATGATATGCACACGCACAAACACACCTTGAATTAATTTCAATAACTTTTCTTTACAGGTGATTTGATTTGGATAATAGAAGGCAGGCCGGCCGGTAAAATATGTACCAACCGGTTCAGCCGGAAGATGTCTAGATCATCACCCGGTGTCTCGGGTATTAAAGGACAGCCAACAAGCTTCCCATTCATGCGGAGGGGGGAGGGGAAAAGACAGCAAGAAGGAGGATGCCATCTTCCAAGGAAACGTGTTCCGCAGTTTTGTATTGCCTACCAAAGAGCTATTATCGAATGAATAGGAGGGATTTGAAGTAGCTGCACATTATATATTACAGTCAATTTTGAGTTTATAGAATCTAATACTGTTGTAGCACTTACTCAGCCCCTGCTCTGTGGTACGCTCCATGCAATGTCCCGAGAATACCGGATATCGTCTTGCATGTTCAGCCGTCTTCTCAAGGCTTACCGGCCGATTTCGCCATCCCGATGCATCATGCCATCGAGAACGGTAAGAGAGCATGAACGTTGGCGCGGGGTTGGCGTGGGTTCGAATGCTCAAGCATCGGGATTATGTATGCGCGTGGCGATATTCACCGCGCAACTGTGTAGCCTCACCAGTAGCCAGTAACAGACATGGGATTCATGTATTGAGTTTGAAGGTAAATGCTCTCACTTCAGTTGTAAATGTTGAGAAGTTGATGGATGTCAAGCTCGAGACTCTAGTAACTTGGGGCAATGTTAGTACCGATACTAAAATACCAAGACAACTAAGTCGCCTCTTCTTTCCGGTCCATTGTTTCCAAGTTTTAAGGGCCCTTCTAATTCTGGTTAATTCTGGTTAATTCAATCAGTATGCAAATCTCCCACAGCAAAACATTCACAAGGACAGAGTTGTATCTTGCGCAGCCAACAGCTCCGTTAATAGTGAGAAAGATTGTTCGCTCGATGTCGTGTGTAAAGCCCAGATAATCGAAAAAAATGAGCCATTCGAAATTGAAAGATGCGAAAATTGCTAAATGCGATGCAAATTCCATTGCACATTGGCCGATGGAGATCCATCTGATGAATTCACTATAGTAGTTTTGTTATAGTATAACATGGTTTATTAGTACATATAACGTGGTTTAACAGTGGCTCGGCCATATCAGTGAGTCGGCCACCATTTTTATATACAAAATACGTCTGTGCATAACCGTGCACTTTCTTTATTTATTGATATAATTTTCTAAAAATCTAATATTAAATATTTAATTATATAAATATTATAAAAGTCTAATTTTTTATTAGAAATTCGAATTATTAAAGTACTTATTAAAGGAATAACTTTTTTGTAACAAGAATTGTGACAATTTCCACTTTTTTTATAATATAATAAAAATATTTATATAAAAACTAGATTTTTAAAAAAATTAAATTTTTATTATTATTTAATATTCTTTTCTTTTTCAAAAATAACGATTAATAATTAAAATATGAATATTGAAAAAGGCTGGTTTTATATGTATTTTGAAGTGGCCGATCCACTAATATGACCGAGCCACTGTTAAACCACGTTACTATATCAATACATGCATTATTATTTTTATATATAAAAAACGGTCATATATAATCATATACTTTCTTTATTTATTGATATAATTTAATTTTTTTTATATATATTATATTTATTTATATAAATAATATAAAAATGAATTAAAATAGTAAAATCTTATAATAATAAAAAAGTTATTTAAAGAAATAGATTTTTGTAATACAAAGTATAATATTCTTAAACTATAATTAAGATATCTATAAAAAGATCAAATTTTATAAATATTTCATTTTTATTATTTATAAGGAAACTTTTTTAGAGAAAAAATAATGATTAATGATTTAAATAAAATATTAATAAAAACTTAATTTTGATGTATTCTAAAGTGGTGTATATACTGATATGGTGTATGTACTGATAAACCATCTTATACCTTTTTGGGATTAACCTTTTATATTATCAGCAGGCGTCGTAACGGAGTGGTTAACGTGATTGACTAGAAATCAATTCCTTTCGGGGGCGCATGTTCGAATCATGCCGACGTCGATACACTTTTGCCTTGTGTTTTTGCCGGCTTCGATGGTAGGGCTTGCAGATATCATAAATCTGCTAATGTTGCATCGACTTTTCATTTGATTCGTTTTGCAATCCGATGGTACTTTGAATGCGGAGCTGCGAGGATAGGTGCCCACTGTAAAAATAAAAAAGTGCGAGTTTTCGTAACTCCCGGTGAGCATCTATTACGAAAGTGACAGCTCTGCCAATTAATCACACGGGTACACGTACACGTGATTGTAATGTGACCTTAGCCAGCATGTTGAATTTTGTTGTATATCGTTTCGCTTTATCTCAATATTCAGACTCTCTTCGTTAATAAAATGTTTTTAATTTAAGAAACTATATATTAAATTCTTAATCTTATTAGGTGTTATATTTATTAATTGTTTCAGTCCCTTCGGTGACCCTCAGGAGGCTTGTGCCTCGAAATCAAGGCCTAAACTATGTAATCACCGAAGGAGGCCTGGCACGCTTTCGTCCCATCGCAATAGGATGTTTCTCTCCTCTCTCAATCAAACTTGTCTAAACAATATTCCATCTCAATCTCAACCTCAAATGATGATACCATTCACACTTTTATTCTCATTATAAACCGTCACCGACGATCAGGAATCGTCTCAATCGATCTGTCTGACATTAATCAATCGATAACTATTAGGTCTCAAGAAAGATGACAAGGCCTTCAAGTCGGAGGCGGCCTAACACCTCCTTCCGTAATTTTATGTCAATGAACAAAGGTATGAGGTGCAAGGAACAGCCTCGGCTTATCACCAAAGCTACGAGGATATCAGTCACATTCTTACTGATTGAAGGGGTTTGGGTGACTTAAAATTGGTTGAGTGTGTGTTGGGATCTGGGAATGTAATATTATTGAATGTCAAACTGTTCCCTTCATCAGTGCTATCTTCCTGCTCGAAGTTCTTTCTTTCATTTCAAAAACTCAATCGTCAAACCTTGATTTCTATATGCCACCAAATCTCACTATGTCTTCGCAAGCCGAGACCAAGACTAGAGCTACGATTTTCTCCCCCCGAATGTCGAGAAAACCTCCCTTCACAGCAGAAGTACAAGGAGTTCCACAGGTGTCGGGTGAGACTATCCCTCGTCGTAATATCCGATATCCTGATCTTCTTTCCCAACCAGAATCAGGTATCGAGACAGTATTCGATATCATACAACGGAGTTCTCGTCGCTTTGGCGATGCACGAGCGCTGGGAACTAGAAAACTTATCAAGAAACATGAGGAGACGAAAAAGATAAAGAAGATCATCAATGGGCAAACACAGGAGGTAGATAAAGTCTGGACTTATTTTGAGATGAGTGGGTATGAATATCTAAGTTTCAAGGAGTATGAAGCAGCGGTATTGAGCGTGGGAGCGGGGTTGAGGAAACTTGGATTGGTTAAGGATGATCGAGTTCATCTTTTTGCAAAAACGAGGTAAGAATTTATATTGCAGAGTGTCGAACATCCAAGCTTACATGTAATCTAGTGCCCACTGGCTGTCAATCGCTCATGGTTCCATGTCCCAATCCATGCCAATCGTCACTGCATACGATACTCTTGGTGTCGAAGGACTCCGTCATTCTCTCATTCAAACGAAAGCCAAGGCCATTTTCTTAGAACCACAACTTCTGAAAACTCTACTTGATTCTCTTGAAGACTTAAAGCATATTAAATACGTGATATATAACACAGACGGTGATACAGAGCTCTCATTATCAAGTATCAAAGAAATGAAGAAAAGCCACAGTCACCTGACACTTTTGAGCTATGATGAACTCATAGATTTGGGACATTTACATCCCGTCAAAGCTGTGCCACCCAGGGCAGAAGATCTGTGTTGCATTATGTACACATCCGGATCAAGTGGTACACCAAAAGGGGTCTCGCTGAAGCATAAGAACGTTGTGGCTGCCAGTTAGTATCCTAATTTTCTGTCACCTTCTAAACTAACATCCCTACAGTCGCTGGAGCAAATAGTATTGTCGGCGACTATCTAGGACCCTCAGATACGTTGCTAGCATACCTTCCCCTCGCCCACATCTTCGAATTCGTATTTGAAAACGCATGTCTCTACTGGGGTGTCCTAATGGGTTATGGCCATCCCCGAACTCTATCCGAAACCTCCATGAAAAACTGCAAAGGTGATATTCTCGAACTAAAACCTACGCTTCTAGTGGGTGTACCATCCGTTTGGGAGACCGTCAAAAAAGGTGTAATTGCCAATGTGAACAAAGGTGGCCCAGTTGTCCGTAGCTTGTTCTGGAGTGCTTTCTACTCGAAACGATTGCTCTCCTCAAGCGGCCTACCCGGTGCCAGTATTTTGGATACCGTCGTATTCAATAAAGTCAAACAAGCGACTGGTGGACGGTTGAGATTTTGTATGAATGGTGCTGGTCCCATATCTCAACAAACCCAAGAATTTATCTCTCACACCATCACACCCATGATATCGGGATATGGATCCACAGAGACTACCGCGTTAGTGACTCCCATCTAACTATATTTCAAAATGAAGTATACTAACAACTCATCAGGATGGGCGCAATATGCGACCCCCTGTCCTTCAACCTTCAAGCCGGTGACATTCCCGCCTGTATCGAGATTAAACTCGTTGACTTTCCCGACGCGGGATACTTCGCTACTAACACTCCTCCGCAAGGAGAAATCTGGATTCGAGGGCCTAGCGTCATGTCCGAATACTATAATAATGTTGTCGAGACAGCCGAAGCGCTTACCTGGGATGGATGGTTCAAAACTGGGGATATCGGGGAGTGGGATAAGAATGGACATCTGAAGATCATTGACCGCAAAAAGAACTTAGTCAAAACGATGAACGGAGAGTACATTGCTTTGGAGAAGTTATATACGGTGCACACCCTTCACGCATATGTATTTGGTATGCTAATTTCACAACAGTTAGAATCAGTCTATCGATCTGCGACTGTAGTAGCGAATATATGCATCTACGCCTCGATCTCTGAAACTCACCCTATCGCAATTGTCGTTCCTGCCGAGCCAGCACTCAAAAAGCTCGCCGAGTCAATCGGTATAGAAGGTCATGGCATCGGTGATTTAGTGCACAAAGAATCGATTAATCACGAAGTATTGAAGCAAATGCAAACAGTAGGCAAAAGAGCAGGGCTAGCTGGTCTGGAAATTATCAAGGGTGTTGTTTTGGCTGATGAGGAATGGACGACAGTTAATGTGAGTTTGATTTTATTGCTTGGTGATCTGAGTGAGGCAAGAGCAAAAAGATAAAAACAGGACGTACAACAGTGGGGATTCGCTGGTGGTCACCCACCCAACTACTAATCCACCGATCTGAAGCTTGTGTATGGCAGAGCGGACGGGATGCCCAATTCTCTTCAGTCTATGGTCGTATGTGATGGAGGGAAGGATTTCAAACATTATAATCAGAATACAATATGACGGGATGGCTGTCTGGAGTGAAGGGGGGAGAGTATAAAGTAGACAATGCTAACTATTGAACAACGAAAACAGAAATTAGTAACAGCGACCATGAAACTCAATCGAAAAGCAATTTTCGAGAGATACGAGAAGAATATCAATATAGCGTATGGGAAATAAATGCTCTCGGTTGAAGCGATGAGAGGTGAAGATTAGAATCTGGAATGACAAGAGATGGAAAGAAACACGAGAATGAGGAGTTGTATTTGTAATTTTTGGTATCATGTTTGAGCGCTTTAGTATGGTTTGCTTCTAGGTCTATCTATTGAGTTTTCATCTATTTTCCTGGGTCCAGCATGCGAGCTGCCAAATTGTGTGATATAACAGTGATTCTAGCTCGCTACTAACATCCGGGTAGGTATCCTGTCACCTCTCCATAGCCCAAAATATTTATTACGCATATCCCTATCCTAACATATTTATCTCGCCTTCTTTTGGCGCTTCATTTCCAGGCAATCACAAGATGTCTTTCCTCTCGTGGCAATCTCTGCCATCAACTTGTTCCTCCCCAAAGCTGAGCTGTACATATAGTCCAGATAAGCAAATAAGTTGAGAGAAATCACGGTTATGTATTAACCCTACTTACGTACGTACATGTCAGTATATTATGTACTAAAAGATAGATGGCTTGCGTGTGTACTGATTTTATGAGATGTGCAACAGGATTTTGGGAGTATTGTGACTCTTGAGGGTGTACTGACTTTTGGTGTGTACTCATTCCTGATAGTTTGTAGACCGATTTTGAGGGTCTACAGAATCCTGGTCTACCAACTTTGTAGACATGCAACAGAACACTCTTGAGAGTAGCTTTGGTGAAATTGTGGTACATACTAACCTTCATTATATAACCTACCAACTTTCCAGACAAGCTACAAGAGGGAAAAAACAGTCGAAGAGGTACCTAGTTATTCAGCCGTGTATAAATAACTATCCTCTCACAGGCCTTATTCAAAAGGCCATGCGGTCGACTTTGGAAGGCGTGGTTTCATGTGTGTACTAACTTTAGATTCTCCCTTCAGAGATATGCAACAAAAGCAAACAGCACTTAGGTGAATTGGAGAGGGAGACACTTAGGTATGTACCAAGTCTGGTTCATATCAGATGTGCAACAAAGTTTTGTGTAAATCAATGAATACAAAGCTACCAGAATTCTCGAAAGAAATCTGAAAGCAATGAAAAGCCTCCAGTGTATCTAGTATTAATAAAAAGTATATACCCTCATTTATCCATCATTATTATAGGCTTGTAGCATAAGTACGAGTGTAAGTCCCGCCCACCACTCTATCCTACTTTCCTAACTCCAATGATCCATCCATATCCAGGATTCCCTTCCATCAACATCCCTCAAATAGCCTTCCCAATCGAAGCCTTCTTACCCACTTCACCCAACCCTACCAATCCTCCTCTTTTTTCCCCGTCCCCAAAATCACCCAATTCTTCTCCGTCATCAAACTTCGGAGGCTGACTCGGAAAATCCGCATCATAAACCAACGTCCTCTTCGCACCCCCCAGACTCGGTCTCGGGGTCTGTTCCGAAACCGATTGTTCCAATTCACCTGCAAAAGCCAACGGAACATCCATCGATCTCTCATCCACATTTCTCAACGTTTTCGACATTCGCATTGACCAGAATTTATCCTGACTGAAAGGACCTCTATCCGGGAATTGGGCATCAGGAGGAGGAGTGGGTATTATGTATGATATTCTTATGGGTTTTGGTTCTGAGATTGGGAGAGTCAATGGTTGTTTGTAATTCTTAACAGGAAAATCGTTGTTTTCGATTTCATTCTGTTTGCGTTTTCTGTATCTGGATAGGAGGAAATATAAGAGGATGGATAGAAGTGAGGAACCGATTATGGAGCCCACAATTGCGATTGCTGCTTGTGTTGCTGTGATGGCTTGGACTTGTGATGATCGTACTGATGCGGAAGCTTGTGACTAATTTTATTGTTAATTATTTATAGTACGTATGCTATTACCATAGGGGATCTGTACGTTAGTTACCGAGATTGTAGCTTGGGCCTGTGCAATTGCAAATGTGGCAGTAGCTAATCCAAGAAATTAGCCATGGAATTTTAGCATGAGTTCTAGGACAGAATTCCAGAAACATACCTCTAGCAGCACTAGCAGAAGAATCCGCGGAAGAAATTGCCTTGGAAACAGAAGAGCTAGCCGATAGAAGAGCCGAAGATACAATTGCAGAAGCGCCTATGAATAGTTAATAAACGTTCTTTGCAAGTACACTTGCGTCTACTGGTTGGAATCAAAACCAGTAGGCCTGATTTTGCTCGGACATGAATAGCCAGTGGAAGTCCACTCACTCATAGCCGCACCAGAAGCACTCGCTGATGCCGCAGCCACTGCCGATGATGCCGATATTTTAATTGAAGATAAAGAAGAATTGGCTACGTCGGCAGCAGCTTGGGCCGATGATTGCCCAGCCTGTGCTGAAGACTGAGCAATCTGGGCAGAGGTTTGGACAGCGAGAGCTTGGCTAACAGATTGCGAAGCTTTCTGTGATATTTGTGAAACCTGTTGTGAAAACTGTTGTGTTGCTTGGGATAGCTGTTGAGAATTTTGTTGTGAAGCTTGAGATTTGAATTGATCGATCTGAGAATTGCAGTCAATCCCGGCCTGAGGTTCTGCAAGAGCAGCTCGGTTGAAGAATGAAGGGGGCGCTGTTATCGATGAGCTGGTCGAAGTTTGCGTGTATGTGGAGGGAATCGATGTGATTACAGTGACTTCCATGATTTTATGTCCTGCTTCCCGTTCGAGTGACGAGACCTCCGCCGACTGATCATTATCACCCCTATTCTCAATCTCCTCTCTTAGTCCTGATGTGGGAGCTGATCGCACCGAAACCTTTCCGTCTGTACAGCTCGCATTATACGTGTCATTCAACAACTCCATCAAAACAAAAAATTCCAATCCGCAGCTGCGATGAAGTAGGAATTCGTTAAAAGGCGTCGATGTATTAATTACTAAAAATGCATGAGTGTAAGTGTCGCGGTAACATGGGCTGTAAGTTACCAGCTTATAGGCCCAAAAAGAGGAAAAGACAATTAAAGCTTAATCTCGATATCTAACACGACCGGCGGTGATAACAAAAAGATACGAGAGAATTTTCAAAGATTCTACGACAAGGAGTTCTGGATGTTCCCATATTATGACTTGGTAAACTCGGCTCAATCAGGGGCACTGTTGAAGGACCTTGAGAAAAGCTGTGAACCATGGTATCTATTGTACAATAGCCAGATATTGCATAAACTCCCTATACTATACTGCGATTAATCTATATCACCGAGCACAGACATCTTGTTCACTCGCGTCTCGATCCCGAAAGCGGTTTTCTGTGGAGCAATCTAAAACACATCTGGTGTTTTGCATTGATAGACCCCACGTCTGAAGTGATTCTCTGTCTCAAATTTGATATCGAAACTCCAGATTTCTCACAACCTCGTAGCTTTTGTAAGACGCATGAAGAATTGCCTGCTTTGTTCCTTAGAATATCCCGCAGATCAAGGGATTTTTTTAACTTGCCCGCTAACGCCAACTGGTACATTTGGACTCGGGGGTTTTTTTTACACTCAGGATAACTTAAGTGCTGGGTACCTAGCTAAAGGTAAAACATTTTATCAAACTTGATACAATTGAATGAAAATTAAGTTCCTCGTCTTAAAAGAATGTTCCAGTAACAGGACTTTGGACGATTATACGATATGATCAGATGTGGAGAGAGCATAATCAAAGATCAGATCAAACGAAAATTGAAAAAAATAATACATAGAACAAGATTTGTACTGCAACGACCCACCCGTCAGATCTCAAATTTAAAGTTCGATAACATCTTCCAGTGACGCCAAACTCAAGAAACCCGAAATGGCGATATATGAGCCCATATATATTTCCGTCCCTTCTTTGAATTATGAAGCCGAACATTCCATCATTGTCAAGATTCTAACGGCAGATTGTGATTGCCGAAGAAGATTTAGAGCATCATTAGCTCCACGCCCCACAACGGTAATGTCATGTCTTCATACAGCTGATGTCAAGGTACCTCCGTACGTTTTATCCAATATAGCTTGAGCCTTGAGATTGCGTCTCATATCTTCCTGTCGACATGGAGAGCTCACAACCTTGCATGATTTGACCAAGTGCATCTCTTCATTCCATTTAGTCCCAGTAATATTCAGATCGCGATGGCGTGGCAGTATAATGAAGCTGGAAAAAGGAAGTGGGAACAATACTTGAGAATTCATTGGTCTTTCGCAGACTCGTCTTCCTTTTGGATTCTATTACAAGTGACGCCAATATAGGTATATATCTTTTGTGTTGTCATCTCAATCCATGAGAGTTGAAGTTTGTAACAATGAAGTTAAAGGATACCTGAAACTAAGGTTAGTCGATCCAAGCGCCCCAGACTTTGACTCTTCACTGCCTATATGTGGAAAAAAAACAGGCCGGAATTGACCACGGGTCAAGCCCTTCAATGGTCCAAATATTTCATTCCAATTTAGAGAATTTAACATTTAAATTATTTTTATGATTGAAAATCATTCAAGGATTTATTCAATATTGTTATTTTTTATTAATTTTCTTTCGATTGATTCAGAATAGAATTTAATAAAGTGATTGATTCTGGCCTTTTTTTCTCCTACGAATAGACTGCCCTCGCCTAATGACTTGAAGCAGAAGACATCAGACATCAGACGATTTCGATTGATTGATTTATAAGATATCGGATTTTCAACCTTGCATACGCTTACACCTAGTATGTATCAGTTGAATAGCCATAAGTACCTAGTCAATAACTTGCACACAATTGATATTCAATCTCATGCTATCGTGGTTATGTTGCATTCATTCGAACACATTCATCGTCATCACCCGATAATAGCAAGCATTTTGATGCCATTTTATCATTGGAACTTATCAATCATCGTGCTAACATGACTTTTTATTCAATCTCAAAATTTCAAACCTTGCTAACGTTTATCCAAAGGGTCAATAACTCATTATTAAATCCATCTCATAGTTTGTTACCTTGTTGGAAGAAAGCCAGATCCAGATCAAATCCCTAAGATAATCAAAGTTATGTACTACTAGGCAACTTGCAGGATGGAATCAACGTTATACAGCAATGGATTCATGAGAATTCCACATTCTATAGCACATGGTATCGTGAAATTGAGCCACACCTATCAGGCGCTTTTGTGCCCACATGCTTATCGTTAACTTTCCATGTGTTCCCCACGATTAGATGTGCCTTGATATCGCTACCTTTCAGCGTTGTGACCTCCGCAGCAACAATACCGTCACAATTCAGAAATGGCATCCCTAGACCACCACTATCGGCCCATCCCTCAAATGGGCGAACAGCTGGCTCACTTAGAGGCACAGGCGCTCTGCCTATAGCTGTACCGATAGCGTCGCCAATTGATAGCTTGCGCATTGAATTGAGGGAAATCACATTCTCCTCTATAGCAGCTGCTCCAAGCTTATGTATGGCGACGTCGAGTTTTTTGAGAACATCCTCTCGTTTATTAGAATGGTTGTGGACGACGAGGTAGGTAAATGTGACTGTCTCCTCATCACCGATTGAACAATTCTGGAATGTTAAGCCGGGATATACGAAACCAACTGAGTGCTCGCCAAGGGGGAGAGCAAGAGATTGCACCCCTCCAGATACTGTAGCGATGGAAGCTGTAATATAAAGAGTGTCCACGCGCAGAGCGAAGCTCGTCGATCAAAATTTCAGTAATGTTGATGTTATAATTTGTTTCTTTTCCAGAAAACTCTCGGGTGCCAATAGAGGGATGCCACCATATCGAACCACCAGAGAAGTCATTATAACGAGTATCGTATTTGCCGACAATCTCATCGGTGATGGGGGAGCCCAAATACCCACTTCCTCCGCCAAGGGCTATCCACCTTTTGTAAATTTCTCCAGCTACCTTTACCGCACCATGCTAGAAGTTCCGGGATCAGTAATCGCTCATTAGATAATAAGATAGAGAGTTTGAATCACGTATATCGACAAGTGGGACATAATTATAGTTTGAGAGCCGAAATTGGGAATTGCAAAACCAAAGTATCAAACTTGCTTACTTCTGGAGTTGAGTATATCGCGCCACCGCCCGAGAACTTGTTGAAGCGACACAATCCATCGGGAGCCAACTTCTCGTCTGATACAGGATAGCCCAGGTTCCCCAACTCGCCACCTGTAGCCATCCACTTCTTGTAGACATCTCCATAGATCCAGAAAGCCCCGCGAGTTACAGTATAATAGATAGCTCCATCGTGTGAGAACATATTGAATCGAGTCACTCCGCCGGGCGTCAAAGTTTCCTTCACATATAAAAAATCAGTGCCTATTCAACATCGAATAGTGAAAGAAAGGCGACAAATTGTACATAATATCAGAAGCTGTTGTCGAAAAGCGTCAAGCCAAGGCATCTTTAATACTCATGTCAGAAACTGGATATCCCATTACCCCTTCAGCCCCATCTATACTCAGCCATTTCTTATAAATCTCGTCTTTCACTACACAAGTGCCAATCTTAGAATTGCAATAAATAGCACCGGAAGTGAAGTTATTGAAACGGCAACCACGATCCGAAGTCCATGACTCGTCTGTAACTGGACATCCCAGCTTACTCCGATCCCCACCCAAGACGATATACTTCTTGAGAATATCTCCGTGTACCTCATAAGCAATGGTAGCTTTCCCAAATGCATCTGCTTGGGCAAAAATTGTGGCATTTGTATAGGGTCGAGAATATCCGTTCTCATTGATGACGAAGCCCCCCTTCGGCGTACCAATCCATGGCAAAGACGCGGCCTTTTTAGCTATAAGGTCTACAGCAGCATCTTGGTTATGCAAAAGTTGTTGAAACGTGGGGTATTCCGAATCATCACAGTCCGGATACTAAAGTACGTATCGTAAGCCTTGCTATTATACATATTGTATTGATGTATACTAACATGAACTGATATTCTGAACGAAGTAGAGCGATGTGACGACATAACTCATGTCTCAACGGCCATAGAACTTTCTGATGGGAGCTGTAGTTTGTGTATATAAGTAAAATGTGTGATAGTAAAAGGCATTGCGTCTACAGAAAAGTCTCTTTCAGCGGAAGTTGCCCAGCAATAAAGCAATTTACCTCCTAAAATCAGCAATTTCATTGGTTTATCAAATCCATAGATAGGTAACTGTCAACTAAGATACCAAAGCTTGTGAGCTCATGGATTTGAGTGGTCAAAGAATTTTGTCTATCTCCTTTGACGCAAAAATGTTCGGGACATACCGATTTCCAATTTCCCTCGAAAGAGGAATATTCCGAATGAAATGCGGGTCTTTGCGACAATGGTAGCTAATAAATACTAGAAAATTAATATGCTGGCTCATTTTGAAGGTTTTGATAATTTTTGTCCGCGGCGATGAAGTTGTGGAAGACGTGGTCGCGCTTACTAGACGCGCTGGAGACGCGCAGCTAGGCATTCCTATGACTCGAGGTCATGCTTACTTGCACAGCCCATTTCAACACAGCCATGATTTGAATCATGAATCAGCATTTTCTTGCTTATAATCACTATTCGGTTCTTCAATCTGCACAAACCTTTTGAATATGTGTTTCGGAAGCAAATTGAAGGGTGAAGCACCGCCGGGATATGACAACGAGAACCTCAATTCACGACCAGTAAACGCGATACCTCAAAGTAAAGTTTCAATAAAAATGCCGCAGAATGAATCTTATTCTCCCCCAGCGGGACCCCCTGCTTCGCAACAACATGCGCCTTATAATGATCAATATGCGCCCCCACCTGGTCCCCCACCTTCGCACGAATATACCCCTCCTTCGGGCCCACCACCATCGCAAGTTCAAGCACCATATCATGACTGGCAGACTGCAGTTCCCGACACATCTCTTCTACCCCCTCCCCCATCTATGGGTTATCAGCGAAGCGATGCAAACAACGCTACCGAAGAAGAAGCATTACAAGGGAAAGCATGGTGTGAACAGAATCCTTTGGCACCGCCTGTAGAGTTCCCGCAGGCTGCTCTAGAAGCACTTGATGCTGCAAACATTGGTGTCATTAAGCCAAGATCTTACAATGGTGATCTTTCGCGTCTACGACAGGGTGTTTGGGCGGGAAAGACAAAGTCCAACAGCAAGGATTCATGCATTATTTCTACACTTCCGCTATACTCCGTATACGCGCATTCACCTTTGCGAACCGAAACAGGCAAGACAATATACTTTGAGGTCAAGATATCAAATAGATATCGCGGAGAGATTACTTTGGGCTTGGGATTTGTTGCGCAACCATACCCAACCTTCAGATTGCCTGGATGGCACCGAGGAGCATTAGGGGTTCACGGGGATGATGGACATAAGTATATCAATGACCTCTGGGGCGGTAAGGACTTTACAAGTAAATTCCAAGCTGGTCAGACACTTGGAATCGGAATGACTTTCACTCCACGGAATGTTAACAATCCTCCTGCTTACGATTCTGGGCCAGCGCAGACCACGGCCCAGACTCCTATTGATGTTGAGATTTTCTTTACCAGAGACGGTAAAAAGGATGGCGGATGGAATCTTCATGAAGAGGGTGATGCTGTAGAAGATCTCCCCGTCACAGGATTGGAAGGTATGCATGATCTATATGCCGCTGTAGGAACATTCGATAATGTCGAGTTTGAAATCGTATTTAATGAAAGGGAATGGATGTATCACCCTTGATGGTCATTAGGAAGTTTTGGGATTGAGTTTCTAGGATAGGGCATACTAACACGGGAGAGTCCGATCGCATGGAGTCGCTCGGATGATATCATCTCAAACCGAAAGAGATTTATAGACATATTCCTATCTAATTAATCTTATTACCTTCTATTCAATACGGATATTTCTACACAAGTATTCCATATAGCATGGTGGTTCTCTAAGTTTGGTGCCTTTCCATGACTTCCAAATCCTCAATGGTCTAGGCTAGCTTACCAAGCTTCATGCTGTTCAGATGCTCTTCTTTTCTTCATTACAAAGACTTTCCCATCAAAATACATAATTCCAAGGCTGAAATTAGAGAAGGAACAAGACTTCGTTCATTCTTGGGGTATACCTGCTCGAGAATGCGTTCAGACTGTTTCGGTCATGATTTTTGTGGTGAACTTAAAAACTCAAGTTAGATTCCCGAGAGGTTATATAATATAGCTGCAACGTCCGAAGTTGTTTCTGCTTCCCGGTTCATGATCAAATAGAACCCATTCGGCTCTCTATAGATTTCCAATTCGTTAGCCACTTATCATATACAGGCGTGGTTATTTTCATCTCCAGGTGATCAATAGTGCAGATTAAGCTTTCCGATAGTTGAAAGGTCGGTCTACTGCAAACTTGATCGCCGGATGATTTGAAATTAATGAAAAGTGCTTTCTTCTCACAGTGAGGATCTTAGTTTGGATGGATACACTCGTGACGTTCTGAACCAGAAGCGAGGTGACTAGTGATTGGTCTAGCTAAAATTTTACACTAGAGCCACAAATCGCTAAATTAGGAGAAAAAGCTTTTCTGCATCGTCCTAGCTAGCTCGGATCTAACATATTTGCCAATCAAGTAGCAGAATGATGACGAATTCCCAAGTATCGACAGCCTGCTACTTATACAGTTATACGTTTTCAAGAATCTGCGGGAAGTCATGTTTCTAGGATTCTCCTCTAGTCTTCAGAAATCAAACCAGACATACCAGACATACCAGATAGAAGAAGCTGTCCAGCTGGAGTATAATAGATTGGCTCAACAAAATTCAATCTCGTAGTAGTGATGAAGCCAAGAGTTTGAATAGCAAATTTCAATGTTAGGATTAAGCCACGATCAACCTAATGATTCAAGCTTTACCCCGTGTGGCGCTAGTATGTGACGGTCTGTACTGCAACTCAAATTTGACGCACAAAGACTAAAAATGTGAATCTTTGAATGTAACTCAATACTATTTAGTGAAACTCTGTTCTATACGGTGATTGTGATAGGTTAATTGGCCCAATGATTGTTCAGTTGCATTCAGAGATCAAAGTTGGAGCGAGTTTTATACAATGATAGCCGTAAATTCTAATACAATACCTTCGATGTCAATGAATGCCCACATCCCGCAACGACTACCGTGACTAGTCCGTACCATCTTATCTAGTACCAAGTTTTTACCTATGAGCTCGCCTTCTATAGATCTTGGTTTATTCTAGCGTCTTTCTAGAACGGTTGCTTGTCAGAAACGGCATCATACAGTAGAAAAGTCTTCATTGTCGCTTAACAGTACATACCGTACGCTGGCCCAAATTCTAATTCCCATTGTAATAAAAAAGTTCATCTTTCCCAAGCTCTCCCTTTTTTCTTTCTTCCTCCAGCTTAACAGTTGATCTTCTATCATCTACAACTCCTACATATTTACCAGATCCACCGCATATACCTCATCTAAAGCATTCTACCGAGGTCACAAATCTGAATCCAGTATCTTGTCATTGTACCGACTAATTATCTCTGATACTTTAGAGTCTTAACTTCTTACACTCTACAAGACAAGATGGGTGCTGGTCAACGTCGTCGTCGTGCGGCAGAGGCTGCTGCCGCAGCCTCCGTCTCCACTTCTCCCACCGAGTCAATCTTTGACTCTTCTCCTATCGCCCCATCTCCTCTGGGCTCTCCTCTTTCCGTGGGCTCTCCCCTTTCTTTGGGCTCCCCTCCTTCTATCTCATCGCTTCCGGCAAGCTCATCAGACGATGTTGGTGAGCTATCAAAGAATTTGGCATCCACCTCCATTAATGGGACAAAGACATTGCCAGCTAAGCCCTATGTCTTCGTCGCCATTGATCTCGAGGCGAACACGCACGATTATACGTGCTTCGCTAACAACAAAACCTACACCCGCGGTACGCCCACCCAGATCGGCATTTCCATCCTCAGAGCAAATGGAAACAATGCAACCCTTTTCGCAAACGATCCCGACTCCCCAGCTGGCACCAGTTATCGCCACATCAAGTTCAAGGAGTTTGCGAAGTATAGAACCAGAATCGGAAAGCTAAAGGCAGGTGAAAAGGTCGACTTCCTTTACGGCCGTACTGAAGTCATTCCACTCGGTGGGGCAAACAACCTCATCAAAAAGCTCATTGATGATGAGAGCAAGCACGGAAAGGTGGTATTGGTTGGTCACGCCATCCAGAATGACCAAAAGATCTTGGGTATGGGGGGGATTAACGCCTTCGATGCCCTCTTTCCAGAGGCATTAGATACTCAGGCTATGCACCTTCCACCGGGAAGCAAGCAGGGTAGAAGCCTGATCAATTTGGTCTTGGGCTACAATAGCTCTGCGGAAACAGGCTGGCAGCACAATGCCGGCAACGATGCCGCATGGACACTTTGGGTCATGGCAAAGAAGCTGCCGGACATCCTCACCATCTCGGAATCTGGAACAGAGATGGTGATCAATACCTCCAAGACTCTGAGGTTTCCACCCAGAGCACAATACGACTACGATGACGACATGTATGATTACTGTTAATCATACATTTTGTAGCGCATAGTTTTCCTTCGGGGTGAAAGCTTGTCTGTGACTGCACGGAGTCACATGGCAGAGTTTTGGGGGGAGTTCCGGTTTGCCTGAGGGTGGTTTGTTTTTTCTTTCTGGATAATCTTAATCAAAATGTACAACATCATAACTTAGCGAGATTATGATATCTGTACATTTTATATCCAAGTAATTAACACATTGATATACATACAAACTACCATGCTCATAAGTGAAATCTATTTCCATGAAGTTTCAAGTCATAGTGAAAAATAGTACCTAGGGAGTAGTATCATCAAATTACCGCCCAGCTTATCAGAAAATTGAAGCTAATCGCAATAGAATTTGGAGATAAAATCTAGAGCATCAACCAATAAACTAGTTCATACTCGTTACTGCTATCATTTTAAAATCTATCAGACCCTATGATTGTACCAATCCATATGATTTTGTCATTTTAAGTTAATATCCTGGTATCTATCATACAGTCAATCTCATTCCTTTAGATTATTATGCATGTAATTGATGATTCGATCTAACTTAGAAAACGTATCCCCCTTATACTTATAATACAACTAGAAAAAAAAATTATCGAATCTATACTTTTCTTTAAAAACCATACAAAACAGTAACTTGATACTGCTAATTACCACTCAATCAAAAAACTTCAAATTTGAAAAATTTGAAAAAATTAAAGGGAATTTCAAATTTTATAAAATCTTATAGACCCAATTAAACTTATTTCCCCTAGTCGCATTGTTATACCCCAACTTCTCCGCAAGACTCTCAGTTGAATAACTCTTCGCTGGGTTCCAGAAAATAGGAGAAATGCCAATATTTAAGCTCTTTCGCTTATCATAGATATAAGCGACAGCGACAGCGACAGCGAGATGGAAGGTCAAATTGGTGTATGTATTAGTATATTAGTCAATTATCTAATAATCTAGAAATTTGATCTTATATGAACTTAGTTCATTTGCGAATGTCCTCATTTTCTTCTTATTTACCTACATCCTAGTTTATACGGAAACACACTTCGTCAATCAAACTCATGCGTCATCGATACCTCGTAATATATATCTAACGTTCGTGAAGTCATCTCCTCATTTGCCTCTATTCTCAATTCCTTTCTATTTTTTTTAACATGGAAATATAATCCGCGATACCACTTCCTGTAGTTCGAATCTAAAATTGCATTTATCTTGCATACTGAACTCATTAAGGTGAGGGTGTAAGAGGTCAAAATTATGCCCATCAAAATACACATTCAATATTTGTTGGACTCATAAATTTCATCTCCATACAATCAATCGAAGTAAAAGAAATCAACTCCATCTATTTCTACATTACATACAAAACCAATCATCCATCAGCACATTACTACTTCCACCAATCTACCACCCAATCTCCTCACCTCCTAATCCAATCCCAACTCCACACACCCGCCCATAAACTCGGAATCTCTACCATCCTGTAAAAGATCTCACCACACACCAACGTCCCCAAAATCGAAACCACAAAAGAAATACAAGTCGCCGCTATTCCCGAAACATTCTTATCCACAACAAGATGAAGATATAGAGGAATAGCTGCCGAGTATATGAAAATCGATTGCGTCAAGAAGTAACCTAAGTAACACATATCAGTTTACCACTCTCGAATATCAATAAGACACAACAATAACTTACTCAAACTTCTCCTCCCCAGCGAAGCCAGCACCGCATTTTTACACAAATTCTGCACCGAGGTTCTCGTCTCCAACAACAAAAATCCTCCGCACAAAACCAACCAATCCGCAATCCTAGGCGTTTGTTCCTTCAAATCCGGAGTGGTATTTAATCCACCCGAAGACCCATAAATATCCGTATGAGCTTTCAACTCCGCATTTGCTGCTTCTAGTGCTGCGTTCGAAGTGGTGTAGAAATATTGCAGTCCGATACCAACCAAAAGGATGAATGTATAAGGAATCCAAGATGGAATTCTTTTTTTGGTAATCCGTTTCGGTAATGGGAATCCGGCGGCGGAAATAGTGAGGAGGGGAGAATTGGGCAGGAGGAGAAAATCGGCTAGGAGGAGGCCGCTGGTAGATATGAAGGAGTAGGAGGATACCCAGTAGGCGGTGAAGAGAAAGAGAGGTGAGTATTTGAGGCGCCAAAGGGGTCGTGTGTAGGGGATTATGAGAGTGATGATGTAGAGGGTGTAGGATTGGGAGTAGAGAATGGGGAGAATTGATAGGGTGCCGGATGGAAAAGCGAGGACGGCGGATAGGTTGTGTAATGGCGTGTGGGAAGTAGAGAGGAAGAGGGCGAAGAGGGAGTTGAAGAGGGTGAGAGGGATAGGTGAGCGAAGAGTGTAGGGAGCTTGGATGCTGGGGTTTGCAGTTTCGTTTACGAAAAGCGAGGCGAGATGGTTAGTGAAGGTGGTCTGCGAAAGCAGGGTAACGAGGGAAAGGGAGAAAATTGTTGGAATGATGAGACGGAAGGATCTTCGGAACATAGAAGATGTAATTGTTTGTTTACTTGGCGAGCTGATAAAAGAGATGCATAGAACTCTTGCGGACAAGAAAACAAAAGATGAATAAATAAGCGATTCATTCCAGAATATCGGTGATAGAATCTTGCGAATGAGGTTCTGATAAGTCGGGGGTGTCTGTAGGAAAAGTAACGATATTACTTTTAACTGTAGCCGGAACGAATGTTTGTAAGAATATCCATAGGAAAGATTGCAAAACGAAAAAGCCACGTAGACCTAGAAGATAGGTAGACTTTGCAGTACTTTGAGGTGGAGGTTGAGCAAATGGCTTCATGGTGGTCGATGTAATCGCCAACTTCTTAAATTTTATTAGCTATAAACGACGACTCAATTTTCTTTTGGAGACGTGTGCGATTTGCCAGTTAGAAAGGAAGTTTTGTCAATGACACTTCAAATATTCTACTTGGACTAAGGCGGGATGCTTACTCACAGCCAGTATCCTAGATTTACCCTGCCATACATACTATTGAAACCTCTGCTTGGATATCTTCCACCTTCGAGTTCAGCTGGAATGTCTCATGTAAATAAAGATGTTTCTCAGACTTCACAAGCAATTTGTCTCGGGTAGTAAATAGGGGTCAATAATTGCAGCAGCGGTGAATTTTAGAGAATATGTCAGAGCTCCGTAGGTTCATGGAATCCAGATTTCCACAATATCGAGATTTTCAAAATCGAGACAGTGATCAATTTAAATTTTATTATCATTGGGAGCAAGTCATGCATTGGACAGTAGCATCATGCTCAATGAATCTAAATAAGAGATATTGAACGGGCAGCATTGATAATATTGAGAAGAAATTTATTTTTGCTTAGAATGGAAATATTATGTAGTTTACGTAAAAACGGCGCCTTCTAAAATCAATACCCATTGTATATAAAAAACTGCTAACCTTATATTTACACCTCAAACCTTATTGATCTGATCACCCGCTTGGCCGTTGGCAGATCCAAGCTTGTTCACCTTGCTGGCAGAACTAACAATAGAATCTCTAACAACTGCTTCGCCGCATTCGATCACCCTTATCTCCACTCCAGTCGTTTTCTTCCTCCCGGTATCGATGCTTTCAACCTTGTTCTCTTCATTCAATGCTTCGCCACTAACTACAGGAATTCCATCAATCATCCCATTACGATTCAACCAATCTCTTCCAAACGGTGTTAATGTTGGCCGTCCTTTCAATGGCTCTTCTCGAGAGTCTCTCTTGATATCACCCGCTAACCCTTTTCCAAACAATCCCGCTATCAACGATAACATAGGCAATGATAAAAATAAGACTGTGTAACACACGACGGCAGTTACAATTAACACTGCCCAGTATGGTAGGATGTTGTTGAGAGCAAGACAGAGCCAAGCACCAAGAGACCAGAAGATCATACCATGGAATAGATACATGCTGAAAACATGTGGGAATAATAGCATGAGGTGTTTTGCGGATAGAAATGACTGGACTAAGGGAGATATCGATGCAAGGAATTGGATTGCGGTACAGAATATAAGACCATTGAAATGAGGAACCCAGTAACCCGGATAGCCAGGGTATCCGGAGTTGTGAGTGATAGTAGCTGGAAGGCCTGTGCTTGGATCGGGATGAATGAGTGTTTCTTTAGCTATGATACTGTAGTTAAGCCATTGATTGAAGGTATCTGCGCTAAGAGCCAGAAGAGCGAGGATCGTGAGGGTCAAAATTAAAGGGTAATAGATGAGAGGATGTTTGTGTAGATATCTTGGCATGTGGTATGTAATTTCGAGATCGGTGAGTAAAATGCCGACCCAAAAGAACGAAGACCAAGAGAGCGAGTACCAATTGATCAATAGCGAGAACATATAGAAGGGGAAACGTTTCTTCGGGTTCGAAATAGAGGTTATGAGAAGGATAGCAAGAAGTGTTGTCCATGATCCCTGGATGATCACAGGAATTGTCCAAAGAACGCCAGTACAGTAGTTGAAAGTTATGAGAGGAACTGCGTTTGGAATTGTGTAAGCGAGCGCGATAGCTTCATTGAGAAGATATCCGAGATGAGGAAAGGGAGTCACATAAGGCCAGGTACTCCAGGTAATCGATGGCAAGAAAGGAAGATAGTAAGTTGCTCCTGATAGAATGAGAAAGTATTCTAGCAGGACGAATATAAAGACCGGTAACATGATTTGGAAGACCCGGCCAACTATCTTCGAAGATATAGAAGAGAGGTCTCCATCGCGCAGAAAAGGATCAATGAGAAATCGAGCGGAAGTGGTAAAGAAAATACCAAGGGCTCCTTGATTGAGAAAGAAAGGTACAATGGTTTTGTTGATCCATATTTCGGCGGAATAGTGGGCAAAAGCACCAGGGGCAATAACGGCCGGTACAAAAGTCAGGCAAAAATGAAGGACAGTTACATTTATCGCTGCGATGGTGATTAGTCCTGCTAAGTGATCAACTCTCTGGCTTGTTTCCATCGGGGATGCGCTTTCATGTGTTGAGAATGCCGATGTGGGAAATTTGTTTGTGATATCCTTCCCATCTAGGCGAGATTGGCTATCTGTCTGATTCCGCTGATCCATAGCGTTGGATTTGATATCGAGAGTTATATGATCCAGTGTACCCGTAGCGGTAGTGTTGTTAAGCCCCGAGACTCGTTTAGACTTGTCTTTAATACCTTTATCATCAAATCGAATGAAATTTGGTGAGTTTAGTAACGAGGGAGATAGGCTAGGAGGTAACTCGTTGATAGACATTGTATTTTCACTATTGTCGCCTGAACTACTCCTGCGAATATTCCACTCGTGATCGACTTTGCTGTATATTTGATCGATAGACCCAATACCACTTACGCCTCGCTCACCTGAATGATTTGCAGTCGAGAAATTGAATGAAGACACCAAAGTCGATGTTCCTGAATTGTAGGATTCGATTCTTGTCCGATATGATGGGGCTGGTGTCAAGGCTGGTGTCAAGCTTGCATTTCTGGAATAGGCGTAGGGCGGGGAAGCTGGGCTTATAACACTGATATTATCTTCCGTAGGATTTTGAGGCATTTCTGGTGTTTTCTTGAAGACTTTGAGCCTTAGGAAAGCATTTGCTAAAGCCGTCAAAGTTACGACCAAACAGCCAACGCTGAACCAAATCGCTACCCATCGAAGTGTACCATGAGCAACACGGTGTTCCCAAGGACTTAAAGCGGCTGATGAGAAAGGCGAGGACCCACGTAAAGTAGTGTTATCCATTGAACATGCGTCTTTGAGATTACATCGCGCATCGAAATTTGTATGATGTGTAGAATTCATCAATGACGAATTGAAAAACAGTCGAACCCACCCGACATTTGCGTCGGAGATGGAGATGGGTGGACCTTGCATAGAATATGGGTTTCCTGTAGACCAATGCTTGATCAAAAAGGGTGAAGGGGTAGATGGCACAGAGCCATTCTCCTTGGAAATTGATCGGACAAGAACGTTTCCGATATACCAATGAACTTCGTTCTTCGTCCAATCCAGTCGAAATTCGTTGTAATCATACAGAGAGATATTCTTCTCAGAAAAAAAAACGGAAGTTTGTGCCCAACGATGGATTTGGAAATTCCGAATGAATCAAACTCGTAACCCAAGCAGTTGAATTTTGGTTGGTATTCATGATATTCATTTCCATAGATTCTGATTCGTTGTATCTGAACATCATCGAAAGCGAAGTTCCTCCAACTCCCTGGCTTGAGGGCCGAAGATAAGCCCGTGCTGAACCATATTGGATATCCTGTCTCACAGTCTTGATACCACCACCTGTGACCAAGTGATCGCTATTTGGTGGGTCAACAGACAGTTTTAAGGATGAAGTAAAGGGTCGATTAGATGGAGAGAACAATGAGACTGGGTCATTGGCGATTGAAGAGTTGCCTTCCTTTCCACTGACTGTAGTGGGACGGTCTCCATAAGTAGAATTTGATGAAGTGTTTCGTGAAGAGCGTGATCTCGACGAAAGTTGAGATGTAGAATCATCGTTGTTGGATGCAACTGATGAACTGTTGAGAATGTTGATATTTACAGGATTAGAACCTTGTCGGAATATGCTGTTGTAATCCTTCTCGTACTTGTTTTCGTAGGATTGAAGTATAAAATCGTCCGAAAGAGTATTAGTCTCATTGAAATAAGTGATCAGTGATTCTGTGAAGAGAACTCCAGTCACAATATCATAATAACCACAAGAGCAATCATCATTGGAGGCGATCGTGGGGGAAGAAGATTGGGCATGCACAGAAAAAGCAGCCGCAGAGAGCAAAGACAGTATAGAAAGGGTATACATCATCAATAACAAGAACAGTAAGCAATGAGAGGAGAGGTATTCTTTGAGTTGACATTCATCATGACTTCATATTGTCAAAACGATGCCACGACATAAATCTTAAATTACATATCCATGAACTGCCATGAATATCAAATTCAAGTGCCTAGATCCTCCTCCAGGTTGAGGTCGGCGACCATAATTCACGGTGTCTTATCAAAATTTACTTTTCGAGACAGTTGAGTCTCAAACCAAATGTAAATAACGGACATCTCAACCAGTGTACGCATATGTTGTGAGTTGCGCATGCTTCACAAGTAGTTGAGGAAGATTTCATCAGAAAATTACAGCCCCGCACGTGCCCAAAGGTTTATGGTGGCTTCAGTGGCTCATTCAGTGGCTTTTGAGCTCCCGACGGGTTCTTCCAGCGATATTTAGATTCATGAGTTCTTTTTTTTTTCTTAAGCTTCAGTTATTCAACAACAACACAAATTATTTGTTATTGATCTACAAAACGACATTGAAATTCATCCGTCAAGAAAATTTCTGTTATATTTTCACCGAATGGCTTGAAACATTCGGCATAAACGCCTCTTAGGCTGCTCGTTGCTTTATGCAACCCAAAAACGGGACTTGGTAACAGAATGCACCTCCAAGAGAGGGAAAATTATTCAAGAATCTAGAACATCTACAAGCCGCAATGCTGTATTTCAAGACACAAGTTTCCATATAAAATTAACATATCACATTTTTCATCTTCTCATCTCGAACATTTCGTTGCCAGATGTGCTAATTGATATTGCCAACGGAGCCACCTGCTTTCAATAGTTTGATCAGCTTGGGTATGATGCTATTCATGGAAAATACCAAGAGTAGATTGAAATGGATCTCAATCAGAGTTTGGAATCTCATACCAACCGCGACGAGGCAGAGAGCGTTATCTGTCTGTTGTTGTTATTATTCTACTCCTTCACAACTCCCTCTTCCGTAGTCGTTCCTTTAGGAAGAATTCTATACTTTCATTTCTTGTCCTTCCTCACAGAATGTCAGAGCTATCTAATCCATCAAAGCCTATTGCTCTACGCACTCATGTGTCCAGAGCATCAGCTTTCTTACTAGATTGGACACCATGCCTCCTAATCATCTCCTATTTCATATTCTCAACATGTCTTTACATGTTTTGCACACCAAAGTTGATAGAAATTTTCTGGCTCATCTATCTTTCCACAAATTCCTACACAGCAGCCATGAATGTTATGGAAGCCATCTGCAGTCTCAAGCCGAACAGAATCGCAAGAAAAACACTTTACAACGTGGAGCAGAATGGCTGGAAATTTCCCACTCCCGATGACCAACTCTTAATATTGGATCTCGTTATCGTCGCATATCTCCCAAACGAGCAAGATATTATCATGGATAGGATTCATTACGCTTTAGATCACATTGCGTACCCCCAGGATAAGATCCGGATCAACGTGTTATACAATACACCCAAACCTATCGAGCCGCTCGAATCCCAAATGAATGATCTCGCTGCAAAAATCCCCCGGTTGAGAATCATTAAAGTACCAGACTCCACTTCCAAAGCACATAATCTTAATTACTTCTTCACCTTATATACTGGAGCACAAATTATTGCCTTGTTCGACTGTGATCACTATACTCACCCGTATGGACCACGATGGGCAGTCGAGAGATTTCTCGCCGACGATGAAATCGATTGCGTGCAAGGACGATGTGTGATTCAGAATTCCAAGGCAACATTCTTAACTGGTATGATAGCAGTAGAATTCGACAAGATCTATGCTTCATCCCATCCCGGGCGCGCTGCCTTATTCGGTTATGGTCTCTTCACCGGTAAACCTATTTTCTCTCTCTTTCCATTCCAACCCATACCCATCCATACCCATCCATCCCCATCCTCAATATCTCTAACCCTCCCCCCCCTCCAGGCTCCAACGGCTACTGGCGAGCCCCTCTACTCCGTGATCTCAAGATGGACGCCACCATGCTAACCGAAGACATCGACTCCGCCCTCCGGGCCCTCTCCCAAGGCGCCCTCTGCATCCACGAACCGAACGTCATCTCCTACGAACTCGCCCCTACCACCTTCCCGTCTTTTCTCAAACAACGTCTGCGCTGGGCCCAAGGCTGGACGCAAGCCAGCGCCCGCCACTGTGTCCTCGCATATCGGAAATCTGCTCACCACACGAAACGCAATCTGCTTACGCGGTTTGGACTTTTTTCTTTGCTGCTGATTCGCGAATTGAGCTATTATCTCGTGTCGCAATATACGTGTTTGATGATTAGTTTTCTGATCACTGGGTTTCCGCGCACAAGAACACAGTTGAAAAATCTGATTTTCTTTGAGTTTCCGGCTTCGGAATGGTTGTTTATTATTGGGTATGTGATCTTTTCTCTCCCCCCAATCACCCCAATCCCCAAACTAACCTCTCCACCCTCCCACACCTAGAACCCTCTGCCTCCTCACCAGCCTCCTAATAACCTACTTCCTCCTCTCCGAATTCGTCAGTAAACGCATGATGCTGAAATTTACGCTTCTCTATCCGTTCTATCTGATACTAGGGAGTTGCATTGGGCTGTATGGACATTTTCGACAGGTGGTGCGGTATTCGGCTTGGAATGCTACGGTGAGGATGTGAGGGTTGGGGAAGAGGAGATGTTGTGTAGGATATGTACGTATGGATGGCAGGTGTTTATATATTCTTGCAAATATATAGATATACTATCTTGAGGGAGAGAGAAAGAAAAACGAATTTCCCTTCTTGAATACTGGACGCGGAATTCCTGGATTCCTGACTCTATCTACTATACTCCTTCCTAATAAATGAATACAACAAGAAAGATACTTTCACTGTGTTACTTCATACAATCTCAATCATACTCATTTATTTCAATCTGTCAATCTATCTATACCTCCTCAATCCCCCTCATACCTCCATCATAATTATACCTCCTCACACCTCCTATCTCCATTATCTATCCACTTACATTTCACTCACAATCACAATCACCATCACCAACATGAAAATCCTATATCAATCTCCATTAATCAAACTACCATTCCACTCCCCCCATCAAAAAAAAAAACCCCTTCATTATATCTACCCATCTACCCATCTACCCATCTACCCATCTACCCATCTACCCATCTACCCATCTATTCATCTATCTATCTATTCATTTATCTATCTACCCATCTACCTATCTATTCATCAACCAATTCACCCGCCTTCCTATCAAGTACATCTAGATATCCCAAAAACTTCTTTCTCTCCTCTCTCCTCTCTGCTCTTCCCCATTCCCTATTCGCATATCCCAACCTTCATTCTGCAAACACCCACCAAGCTCTAAAGTACCTAGCCAAAATCAAAATCAAGATAATACCACGGCCACCTCTCTAGCATGATCTAGCCTCCTCTCTTACTGAAACACTCAAACACACAATTACCCAAACAGGCAGAGCATAAGATTGAATTTAAATTTTAAGTATATTTTCTCCATTGCTCTTAGTAATCTATCTGTGCTCAATAAACCACCGTATCCCATCCCATCCATCGAATGCGCATCCAAAGCTAGGTAGGTAGCTTCAAGAAAGCATTGTAGTAACAGACTGGCATGCGCAAACTCTCCCCTCCCCAACGAGCATAAAATCACAAATCAAATCTTTTAATCCCCCATAATCCCACCATCTAAGCACAGCATTCTCTTTCCATAAAGCGCAGCCTCCCCTTCAGATAACAAGTCACCTCACTTCCAAACAATATCTCCATCTCCATGCACGCGAAGAAACAAGCAAAGCAAGGCAATTCCGGCCTCGCAATGAAAAAGAAAAACGAAGAGCAAAAAATCCAATCCCATCAAAACACCCATATGTAAAAGTCTCCCTAACCAGAGGCCCTGTTCCCAGAAGCAAGTACTTTGATGTACTGTAAAAAAAATGAATGATCCAAAAACGCCTCGCTGATGTGTCGCATGTGATGGGAAAAAATGTAAGCTATCGAGTTTGTCGATGCTGGTCCTCTGGTATAAATCATAAAGTGTACCTGCCCTAACGCCTGTCCAGAGGACAAAATAAATCGTAAAATCATATTTAAGGATAGTAAGAAGATGGTCATCCAATAAATACATGGAGGACAAATGGGGAGTGGAGATGTGAAGAAGAACCCCGTATCAGACTTGTAGATCATCAACAAAGAGCTTGGTGACTTCTTCACATTTGAATCTTTATTCCCTAAAGTAACAACAGAAGATATGTTATTTTTTGCTAGACTTTTTACCCAGTCGCATGAACCGAGTCTTTAACCACATCATGAGTTTTGTCCAAGCATTATGTGTTTTCTTTTTGGTGTTTGACATTGCAGTATGACTTCTGTTCGGCGAACCCCGACTATGTTCCTCGGAGAGAAAGGGAGGGGCAGCAATTGTTGCAGTATTATAATTTTGTCCAAAAATCCCTTCACTTTTCTCATGTATGGTAAGATCAGACTTAGATCGCTTTGATTGAGTAGGTAGATTGTCGCTGGCAGAAGAACGACGATGACCTCTTTCAATCTGCCGTGCTTCTTTTTGTTGCTTCTTTTCCATTGCTCGAATTTCTTCCCTTGCTGCCTTTTCTTCTTTCGCCCTCTCCTTTTCTTGAAACTTGCGACGTGCCTCTTGTATTGTTTCCGAGCGCAGACGATTATCAACCTCACTGCGACTTCGAAGACGAAAACCTTCCATCGATTGTCGGATAGATGGGGAAGTGGGTGACATGGTGTCCAGTGGTGAGGTTACCTCAGGAGACAAAACAGGACTTGTATGTGATGCTGCAAGAGCAAGTCTTGATGAAGTCGGAGGTAGCTTGGTTTGAATTCGTAGGGTTTGCTGAAGCATAGGATTTGTTGAACCAGTCATTGAGTTTGCCTGATTTGACAAATTGGCTGTACTACGGAAAGTATGTCGTAACTGATCCTCATCTTCGGTAAGTGCAATGCTACTGTTTGTTGCTTCACTTTCGCGAATTGAGTTTTGATAGGAAGCACCTAAAGGAGGAGTGTAGGGTCGCGGGGTTTGTTGGAAAGGATGTACGAAGGAGCCGGAACGCTGAGCACTGCCTGTTGTTGCTATTGAAAATTGAGATGTGCCGCTGGTTGAACGCGCATGGAAACCTCTCCTGCCTCCTTCTCGACTGTTGTATGCAATGTCGTGAGAGGAACGGGAACTGTAGGCAGCGCCATAATCAAATATTCCGAGGCCATCTTGTTGTTCCGCCGCTGGCCGATCCAAGTCTAGTGAATTCTTTTCGCTCTGTATCAGTTTCTTAAAAACGGGTTTGACCTTAGACCTAGATTTAGATCCATGATCTCCATGGTAACTGGACATTGTTTCGATTGGGTACGGTGAGAGCACAAAAGCAATAACAAAAAACCACGACAAAGAGCAGGTGATAGCAACAACGAACACAAATTCAAAACCAAAGAGACACAACTCTCGAGTCCCTTTACAGAGACACTATATATCATCTACTTTGCATTACTGCTCTGCAGAATAAATGTTGTACAATACAAATCAAGGGAATAAAGATTGATTGATTGATTGATGCACGATACCAAACCAGAAGGAGAACGAAAAGCAGAGCCAGAGCCAGAGTCAGAGTCAGAGCCAGAGCCAGAGCCAGACCGCCGACCGCCCCTTTGCGAAAATCCGGTATGGGGTTAAAGAATATTGGGAATGTAGTCGGTCAATCGGTTGCAGGATTGCGGGATTTCCGATAACGATAACCCCTTTGATTTTTGGTTGTACCAATATGTGTGTGTGGATGGATGGATGGATGGATGAATGTGGGTGTGTGGGTGTGTGTGTGTGAGTGTATGTGAATGTATGTATAAGTGTATGTATAAGTGTATGTATAGATATATGTATAAATATATGTATAAAGATATGTATAAAGATAATAAAATGTCACTAATACCTATAAATGTGTTGGAGTTTCAGTTGAACGGTTGGTATTGATGTTGGTGTCGCTGTGGATGCTTGTAGTATTGGTGTCAAGATGGTTAGGTAGAGAGGAGGTGAAGAAAGAAGAATATTGATTGTTTGGTTTGTTTGTATGATGCAGTGTGTTTTGAGTGAAGTACTCTCATGTTGGATTTGTTGGATTGGGTTTGGGGTTTTGGGTTTAGGATGAGATAGAGAGAGTAGTGTGTGTGTGTGTGTACCTAGGTAGTGATAATGAACTGAGTAATGATAAGAAAGGGTGTGAAAGTATTCCATCCGTTTGACAACATAATAATGATAAATAAGCCGTATTGAAATTCGGAATCGAATCAGACAGAGAATGGATCAGACAATGAATCAGCCTCCTTCCATCTATCAATCAATCATTTGCATTTTCAGCATCCATACCTGAAGCGGCGCAGTATCGTGTTAAAAGGGAATTTCGAGGGCTTTCATACGACGCTTTCTTTCTTTCTTTCTCTCTTTCTCTCTTTCTCTCTTTCTTTTCTGCAAACCTCAAAGCCATCCATCGTTCTAATTCATCATCTAAGCCAAATCCCTCCAAGCCCCGCTCCAAGCCATCAACATCTTCCGCCCACTCTAGAGCAATGTGGACGCGTTCGTTTATCCTGTCCCGTCTGGTACTGTCTGTCCGTCGTGTCCTGTGTAGTTATTGTGTACTTCTATGGTAGGTATGGTAGAGTAAGAGATCTCGGTCTCGGTCTGGTAGACTAATGAGAGTAAGAGTAACTGCGTTAATTATCTGTACAAAGTACTTCTGCGTACCGGTACTGCACGGTACCAAGCCTCACAAGCATTCTTCATACCCAGCTTTTGCCCAGACTCCAGAGTCTAAATCGGCCGAGACTCCGATGTTTTATTGCTCACTCATCACTTACTCATTCATGTTGTGTCCGGCTTTGCCGAATGCGTACTGTGCTTTGAAAAGGTTGGCTGGCTGGCTGGCTGGCTGGTTGGCTGCTTGGTTTCATGGCAGCATGAATAATAAATGGTGGAAAATGTAATTGGAAACGATACACGACAAGATGATGGCTTCAATCGCTTTGAGAAAGTGGGAGTTTAGTTCTTTAAAGACAAAAAACCAAGGTCATGGCCATGCTCATGCTCAAAACTCATAGGTTAGGGTAGGACAAGTGGTTAATAAGTGTGAAATGTGACGATTATAAAAGGCTGAGATCATTGGTGCTTTATATTAGGTTGAACCTACTTATGACCGGCTATGTCTGTGTGCGCACTGTGAGAAGAAATTCTGGAGGATATGAAGAAGAAGAAGAAGAAGAAGAAGAAGAAAAAAAAAGTCGCAAGTGGGTACCAGTGGTGAAGATCTCGACATGGTTGATGACTACGCTATGTGTTATGTACAAAGTACACTTCGTACAGGTAGGAGGAGAAGAGAATGGAAGCGTGCAAACTTTACGATATGGAGAAGAACTGGATTGAGTCAATTGAAGGAAGATTCATTCGATTCATCCAACTCATCAAATCATCGACTCATCCATCTCCCTTCAAGTTGACAACACAGTTCTATTATTACTCATCACTTCAATTGGTCCACCAGTGGTCACACATGTGGCTACGTACACAAGTAGAAATGGATATACCGTACACGTGAAAATGAGGCTGATACTGACCCCTTTATTTCAAATGATGGTGGCCGTCGTAGTCGTGGCGATTCACCTCGGAAGTGCGTTGGTGGATGGAGAGATGGTGGATGGTCGATGGTGGATAAGGACCGCCCGTTTTCCCATTCTCTCCGATACGGGGAAGGACTGCAACGGACCATTCTCAAACGGCCAAGTCACCCATTCATGTCGGCCGCATGCTCTGTCGTGGTCAAATATCCGCTTCTAATCCTATCCCTTCGTTTGTCTGGACTGCGTGATGAAAGGGGCGTGTTTGGATATGGAACTTGATCAGTAGGAACAAGCAGCGAGAAGAGTTATCGTAAGACTTAAGTTAGTGTGGTAAATCATAGACAGGAGGCGTGATGCCGGCAGATATGGAGTACTTCGTCACAGATTTATGCGGAAGTCTGGAGTAGGTAAAGTATCTGCAATACATATGTGATACATCTAGCGAGGTAGGTATGCTCGTATGTATCATTCAAAGTTCAAACCCAGTCATCTACACCTACCCCCAGGTCCGTAAGAGCCGAAAAGCGACTGGACGATCGAAATCTACCAGCCATGAATTGCCTAAACTGGGACATTTGAACCTCTGAACGGAAGTACACATGTACATCTCATTTTATATCCCTAGCAAAGGCTCCAGACGACGCAAGCTGTCTCATGATAATTTCTAATTTCTACCTTATTTCAACATTGATCGCTCAGGTCATATTCGTTCGACCTTGGGCGTGTTATTGGGTGAGAGGGCCGCTGATTGCAGATGCTACCTTAATAATAATGCATGCAAAAAATTCTTCATGCTCCCCGACCTCGCAGTTTTGCATATTTTCACGTATAATTCGGTCGGCCGTTCAACACAACAAGTGTATCACTGAGTCGGGGAATTTATTCCTTTCCATGCAATGTCCAACGTCTGTCGAAGCCACTATCACACAATAGTGCCACTCCCCACCATCTAATATCCAGTCACCTGCCCAATGTAGATCCAATCTTTGTAGTTTCCCCGAGAGTGCAACGGTACAAAACGTTCTCAACTTCTCAAGGTGGTACAATCACATATGAAAAGGGTGAGCCGTGAGTCTTGACATCGGACATCTATATACTCTCGGAAAACTACGACATATATGTGTATTTGCACGGGAAAGAATGCAATGTACCTAGGATAAGTTGCATGAACTCAATGGCCGTGCCCGGGTCCTTCACCTGATTCTGTCCATGTTTGAGCGTTCAAACACTGGGGACTTTTTTGTAATCTCTCTCGTCTCCCTTGTTTTGATGACGGCAAGCCTCAAGGAGATGTACTAGGGACAGAGAGTTTTCTCTATCGATCACTTGCATGAAGTTGGAGCTTGCCTCCGTTTCTCTTTTACGAACCCTCCCGGGAAAAAGACGCAATTCGAAAGTATAATTGTTGACGAAATATGCTGGTCGAGGAAATAAAAATGGGAACTAATCAAGTGCAGATCACGGACTCGAGGCCATTTTGTGATGGATCAAGGTGACCTTCCGTTACCTTATCTTGGAGTATCAAGGATATTCCTCACCTCAGGGTTGAGGGTTCGAGAAAGCTTATGTACATACATTCGCATTCGTACTGGTCTACTGGATACTTCCTGCAACATGTGCAAAATTCTTCACCTCAGCCCCATTTTCATTGCGTATGCGACGATGATGCTCAAAGATGGCGCACAGCAAGCAAGGCTGTCAGCCAGAATCATAACCATGATTACCGGTATCGTGTACCTACCTCGATCTCTTCGTCGTCGCCTTGCTGGCGCCTGTTAGTTTGTTGTGGTCCCTTTGGCGGATTTCTCTCCGCTCCATCCCACTTGGAAAGGATTCTAAATGTATTTCCGCACATTGCTCGTTGACATGCAGATAATGATGATGATGAGGATCAACGATGCATGGATGAAGCTTGTAGCTCTAGATCATGTACATACTACACTAGTCGATTTGAGCAGCTGTCCCAACGTGTCAAAATCGAAACATCCTGAGTTAAGCATCAGCCAAGGAGTGGATGATGCTACGATGCATTGATGATGGAGGGGTGGAGGAAGCAAGATCATACATCCTAGATAGGCCAGTTGAGAACAGCACATGCCACCAGGTGTTCACTGCCGTCCCGTTGTAGTATCCCCAACTTACAAACATGGATACTTTCTGCAGTATGTGTACATTATACATGACAACAATATTAAAGGTACATGGGAATATGTCGCTTCCCATGTTATGTCACTCGGGGAGGCAGAGGTCATGCTTCCGTACCCAGATTCACAGACAACCTCTGGTAACATAGAAAATAGAGAATGCCAGAGCTCATCTAGAATTCTCGTGGCGGGTCATCTCGTTATCTGGAATGGCAGACAAGATGTTGCATGATGGTTTGGAAACTCACTCTGTTAAACTTCGGTCCATCGGCCATGTGATGAGAGTGAATGGTTAGACATAGGTAGGTACAGTTGTGTTAGCATGAGACATATGTATAGGAGCAGTAGTAAAGCATAGTAGATAACCTAGCCATCTCGAAGCTATATCTTCTAATCCTATTGCTATACGGGAAAGGAATACGAAGTCAAGCCATAAATGCTCATTAGATGCCGAAATAATGTAGACCTACCAGCGAAATGATCAGATCTTGACTAATACTACTAGTTACAACGGTACGTACCGTGGTTGATAGTAGTACGTACAAAGAGTATGTAACTGGGTAGTTTTTGCTAACGATATCCATCCAAGACAACAGGCAGGATTCTTTCGCCAATGGCAATTCGACATCAATAAAAGAATCACAGTCTATTTGTTAGATTTGCTCTCAACTTCTCCACACTCTTTGCGCGCTTGAACTCACGGACTCGGCCTCGACCATAGTGTCCACTATTCTTAGCATTTTTTAAATTTGTAGTCAGCATATAGAATAATCCTCTCGAGAAATTCATGGTTAACCAAGCTTACCAAGGTATCCAACCCCGCTCAATCAATTGGTCTTGTCTCACTTTGTCTGTGCCGAATAATGTACCTATCCACGGCCCTTGCCTGCCAAAACGGAAATAAATAATAATGTTATGTGTGCCACGGACGTTCAACGAGTCATCTAGTCTATCCCATATCTCTCGGGTTCTCCTAATCAGCTAATCCATTAATAAAATGGTGTATTAGATCAGATTTAGACTCGGGATCCACGACTGATGCGGAAGTAATTGATATGAAGGCGGCAAATGCGTAAATAAGAAGAATAAACATAGCTTTCGAGCTTTGTATTGGTTTTGACATTGAATAACTGGGGTATCGTATGACATACAATCAGAGGAGGGATAAATAGACGTTGAAGCATAGATCAAGCATTTGGCAAGCATGTTCAGGATATTTGTTACTCCGAGACAACGAAACCGTCGGAACAATCGTCTTTAATATCTACTGGAGGCTCGGACATTGATCCGTACAGTACCTCACATATCGAAAGGTTCAGGATTTGCTTGGCTAACCTAAAGTAAGCTATGGGTAATGGAGAGATCACATTGAAAATGGGGGGGAAAGGAACGACATGGAGAACAACTAGCTATAACCTTGAAGTTGATGAATGGTAACCATAACACATGATGTGAATGATTTGAGTAGTGATAGCTTCGCCACGAGCACCTTTCCGGATGGTGTCAAAGTTATCGATAGCTGACATCTATTAGATGGTCATCCCTAGCTCGTGATGGCTCCAGATTTTCACCAAGCTTCTCCCTCGACGTATGATTGCGAGTGTCTCGATTGTATATCTGTAGCATTCGGCTCTATAAACTCCATGGCCATCATTTCCACCGAATTGCCCCTCATTGCGGACGCGAAGAGGGAAGGGTTCATTTATGCTCATCATTTTCATGCCGTGATACCCTGGTCTCTATAGCTCGAGATCGAACTACGGCCACCTTTTGGCAGTCGCATTCGAGGTGACAAACTTAGAGATAGTTAGAGCCGTGGAGGTTGACCAAATTCCACCATCCGAAACGCTTCGTCGTTGAAACTTCCCTGTAGAAACACTGGAGAAGTATATGAAGCTTCGGATCATATTCGCTAATATTGATGAAAGTGTCGCAGGTGTCTTTTTAAAGAGGGTTACGTTTTCCGAAAGCAGGCGCCTGCAGCGGCCGATGTGTTCTCGTTTAAAAACATACCCTAGTAGACCACAATTGCGCAAATGATAGACCAACCAGCAAACACTGACGAGATAACTAGTATGTTTTTGTGTAGGCGATTTAGCAAGCATAAGAGCAGGCATATTATCGGTCATAGACAGGCATCTCGTTCCTCTTCTTTTCGTGAGTACATTCGTACCTAGGTTCCTTATACCTAGGTGATTCTATTCAAGTCAACGATCCATAGAAAGCGGAAAGATAGGAACGACCAGATTTGGCTATGAATTCAGGCTGAAAATCATATCAATTTGACTCGTATCTTATGATAATTGTTACAATCATCTCAGGTAAGATGCGTAGATGACCATTGGCCGTTCAAGCTTGCAACAAATGCGAAACTGCATCGAGGAATTCATCATACAGACTCACTCGACTTGCCTTTCCCTCAGTACGTACCATATCAGATATTGATGTACCTACCATATGCATATTTTGTTCCGTTTTTCCATACTACTTTCAAGGTATCCTGAACCTATGCAGACCCTAAGCATTTTAAACCATCCTACTTGCTGTACAATCCACCTGGCGCACACCACCCACAGGACTTTACTCCACCACCAACATTCATTCTTCCTCGTCCACAATGCCCACCACACGCGCTTGAGGTCCAGTTTTAATTATTTTCAATTTTTGCAGTCTTACACATCGAGTTAAAGCGCATCCGATTGTATTTCAATTTATCCCTTCCCCCTCCGTTATTGCCAAAAAGTGGCACCCGGCAAGCGTCACTGAACCGAGTGTACTTCAGCAACTGATGAAGGGGAACAAAAGTCGACCAAAAAGATTAATCGACTAGCAAGCTAGCAAGCTAGATAGCCGGACGGACTAGACTAGACCACTAAGTAACTAAGTAACTAAGTAACTACTATTCCTCTGTACGAAATGCATATTTTTCCGAGCATTATTTGTTTGTGAAATTCTGGTAACTTACACTTTTTCCTGCCTTCCCAAAACAAATCATCCAACAACTCTTCTCCCCACCCCACCCCCAGTAAAATACCCAGATTGTACAAGTACATCCCAAGAGCTTAACAGCCCCAGACCAGTTCTAGTACTAAATAGCTTTCATGGCTCGAATCGATCATTCTCGTCAAATTCACGAATGGCTCAAACGGCTTAAATGGCACACCAGGCGCACATTTCGCTCAATGCTCGCAGAACAAGCGCTGCTATTTGTCTCCAGATTTTGATCCACTCTACCCATCTCGATCCCTGATTCCTTGATGCATCCGTCCCAGTCTTCCTAATAATTGCTAACGCTTGATTTTCGATGTAGTAGAAGACAAGGACAAGAGGGAAAAATTATAACTGTTCGGGTCCAGCCGTGTGGTCTTCTTGTTGGCTCAGTCATATATAGACCTCGTCCAGACCCTGATGTCCACCTTCGAAGCAGTATGACATCTCATCGTCTTTCTCTTCTATTGTGGTAGTGTGTCATTCTTGTTTTAGGGAACTGGCTCCTCGCAACTGTATATTTGATCCAATTGAACTCAGGTACACGAGGATGACAGTCGTTTGGTGATCTCTTCGTCTTTGTCCTTCGGTGGCTGCTTGAATATATATTGGCAGGTTTCTTGGGAAGAGTTTTTTTGTATTTTGGTCTTTGGGAGCAAACAAAATAAAGAACTACCATACATACATACCATATTCTCTTACCACAATTCGAGGATTTTCATGGCTGGATTCCAGTGAAATCACTATTCCTCCCAAAAGAAAGAAGATTTTCTACCTTGATTTTTCTGAGATACGAAGAATTATTTCTACCTGATCTGACGGGCAAACATCTCGAACAACCCAAGCTCAGTCCTCCTCTTACGACTCCTCCGTTTTCGCGCATCACCACCACCACAAACTGCCCTCGAGAGCTCCATTCCACGTCCTTTCCTTCCACGACATATACCGGCACCATTTGACCGACATCGAAGACATTGGCCCAATCTTGTTTCCATACGTTGCAGTCCACCCCCTTTTGAAGAAATTTTGAAAATTGACGAAATCCTATCATATATGTGTTACGGGTCTTCCACAAAATTCCTCATAATATCATATCAAACCGGGTCAAAATCGCCGGCTTCTATAAGCCCTTTTTTCGACATCACAAAAGACTTCTATTCCCCGGTGGTCTTGCTTGAAACATATACGAGTCTTACACGCCCAATTCGGGTTGCCACTTTTTCCGCCTATACCTCACGAATTTACACCCACTCGACTGATCCCTTGTGACGTTGAACCCGTTCATCACTTGACCTCCGTGGATCTTGTCTTAAAGAAGTTCCTCGTTCTCTTTCCCTCCATACTCTATTACTTCAATTTCAAGTAGCAATAATGGCTTTGCCTAGTCTCGATATATGGCAATGGGCCTTCTTAATACTATGGTAAGCTTAGTAAAATCTCTTAGCCTCGCCTATCCTGCTTCTATTTCTGTTCCTGCGCCACACAAGTCGAGGACTAATTGTGGGAACAAACAGGCTCCATCGTTATGTCAGATTTATTGTCAACACTATCAGCCATTGGGTTTACAGAACAGTCCCAATACCATCAAATCCTTCCTTCACATCGAAAGATGTGAGCGTCATAATACCTACGATCCATAATAATTTCGACGAATTGAGAGATTCTCTGCAGAGCATCCTCGCATGTCAGCCAGCCGAGCTTATCCTCGTCACTACAGCCGACAAATACAAAAAGCTACAGTACTTTTCCAAATCCTTGGAAGCTAACAACGTCAGCGTTTACTATGCGCCAATTGCAAACAAGCGTATTCAAGTATGCGAGGTTATTCCAAAAGTGAAGACGCGCATCTTGGTAATGGCAGACGATGATGTCACGTGGCCAAGGACAATACTACCCTGGTTACTTGCACCCTTCGAGAATGCAAAGATTGGTGGTGTTGGGCCATGTCAACGAGTCAAGCGAGTGCGCAACGGCACCTTTGCCGAGCGTGCATTCAATTGGCTTGGAGCTGCTTATATTGAAAGACGCAACTTTGAAATTTCGGCAACCCATGGTATTGATGGTGGAACCTCCTGCATGTCTGGGCGAACTTGTGCATTCAGGTCCGAGATTCTGCAAAGTCCTCTTTTCTTGGATGGATTCAAAACAGAGAGATGGGGTCAATATCAACTCAATGCAGATGATGATAACTTTGTCACGAGATGGCTTGTCGCAAATCAATGGTCGACATGGATTCAATACAACCGAGAGTGTGAAATCGAAACGACACTTGAGAACAATTTCAAGTACTTGTACCAATGCTCGAGGTGGGCTCGCAGCAATTGGAGAAGTAACTATACTAGTTTGGTTACGGAAAGACATGTTTGGCAGTAAGTCGGAGCCCTTTTTGTCAAGTCACGAGGTGAAACTTTTTGCTGATCATCTCTGCGTACAGTCAACAACCGTGGTGTGTCTATGCTCTGCATATTGCCACCTTTACCTCCTTGTCCTTCGCCTTCGATCCTCTCATCGTCTACCTCTCATTGAAGGCTACCGCATCTTGGTCCCCACAGAATCAGATGATTGCAGTGATTACCCAATTGGTCTTCATGCTTGTAACGAAAGTCGTGAAGTTGATCGGCCTCTTTATTCGAGAACCAAAAGATATTGGATTTCTTCCAATTTCTATTCTCTTTGGATACTTTCATGGATGGATCAAATTATATGCACTGCTGACACTTCGGATGGTAAGCTAATACTCCGCTCTCACGTGTTTTCTCTTTTTGGGCTCCAATGCAATTTTAGATGCTAATAATCCTTATACAGACTTCGTGGGGTAGTCGTGCAGATGGAGACGCCAATGATAGCCATCGTATGAGTCCTCGAGCACGCCGCAGCGAAAGTATTACATCTCCACCGGGCAACCACCCCGGTCTCATCCGCTATAAAGACGAAGTGCAAATGGAAGCACCCGAAACTATCGAGAGCTCTCAACACACCTCCTTATCCGAAAAGTCGAGCTGCGCGCTGGAACCTGACCCCTACCCCCGTTCGGATGATGGGTACAACGAGACTCTCTTTGATGAAAGTAATCTCGACTCCGCCTCCGATGCCTCTTACGATGCAAATGATTCCCATGATGATGATGTCTTTCTTTCTCATTAATTTCCTGATGAGGCAGTTGTAGGAAAGGAACCCTCCTGAGACGCTAGTGCAGCATTGTCTTGGGGGCGATCGCTTTCCTACTGTTTGTCATTTACATGCGTTGTCTTATTGTTTCAACGTTTCTTCACATTTCCGGCCGGCGTACGCGCTCGTGCATTCAGCATATTGGTGATTGAAAAGATTAACTGGGTTATTGGTTTCTACACACAACATATTCTTGCATTTGTTTTTGGAGTTTATCTTTCGTTTCCTTTCTTTGAAAAGAGATAAGAAGACTTGGTAGCTACTTTAGGATATCGATGTACACACGCACATCCCACGTCTCAGAATGTGTTTATTTTTCTTTCTATTTATATGTTGTTTCTATGTTATTCATTCTCAATTTGATATTTCTCTTCATTTCCCATTTATTTACTAGGATGGACAACTAGTCTACAAAAGTGGTCGGGGTGATGGGCTTTAAGGACGGTCTCGAAAAAGAAAAAAATCCTTTCCGATATCTTCTTTTCATTTTCTTTTCATTCTTAATTATCGGGGTGGAATCGAAGGAGGAAAAACTCTCATACAGAGGTCCACAATCAAAATGGGAATAGGATCTATGAGAAAATAATTTTTGGTCACGGAAATAAAGGCATCATGACAGTGATCTGATCTGATCTAATCAAAACATGTAGAATAGAAAGATAATTATCTCAATGGCATATGGATGCGATAAGATGAGATGGTCTGTATAGGAGACTCGGAAGCTGCAAGCATATAGTTTGGATCTTGAATATCAAATTATCATTCGTTTGTTTGTTCAAACTTGACATTGACTGGCGTTTGAAGATGCGTGTGGAACCCAGCCTATTAATGACAGCCCATACATCTTGGCACAATTTTGTTCCATACTCATTCCGCACCCTATAGAAAATCGCTCAGACACAGACACCCTATTTCACCTTCTCATATGTACATAAGTACCTTGTGCGTTCAATCTTTGGTAAGGGATAACTATTGGAAGAAGATTCGGCCTGACCGATCAGCAAAGCCAGGTACCAGAGTCTACCAATCCGGCAAGCCAGAGAAAAAAAACGCAAGGCAAGTTGGGATGAAACGGTCAGATAATGAAGGAGGCAGGTTTGAGGAGTTATGGATGTGTAACGCACATGCATATATATGTACAGCTACCCGCATATGCTTGAATGACAATGGCATATTCCTTGGCGTTGGCGTGTCTAATCGGAAGATACCCAGATGGTGGGGAGGTGGGTATTTCATTTGCTCCATGGTGCATTGAGTTTTGATGGATCTGAATTCCGGACTGAAATGGAAAGGGAGAATGGTGGACTGGGAAAAGAGGATGCGATGTGCGGAACGGGAAAGACGTTTTGAGAAGATTCCAATAAAAGGTGGAAAGATGGGAAGACCAGACAGGTGTTCATCGTTCATAGCCGTTGTAACGTTTATGCAGTATGCATGCATATGCAATGTATTACAGGGAAAGGGTGGTGCGGTTAGGGGGTTGTGATTTGTGTGGAAGAAATGGCGCTGGGGTATTGAGTGATTGCCCAGGTATTTATGTGGTCTCGAATTATGTTCTGGACTGAGGTGGATAAGTGATTGAAGAGCCAGATAGGTATGTATCTTCAAGCATACATACGGTGTGCATGCTGTAGGATTTCTTTGTAGGTAATAGCACTTTTCGATTGCTCTGCGTTGCATGTAGCAAATGCAATCGACAAACGGAGAAACAGGAGTGGAATTATTTAGGGCTATGTTGGATAACTTATACAATTCTTACATTTTCCATTTCATTCGGTATATGCATGCTAAGACGGAGTGTGCCAGCCAAACCGGTATTCGCTCGGGACTTCACGAACATCGAGAACATACGAGAGTATACGAAAAACGGAGAAAAGGGGAGAAAAGGGATCTTGCGTTGCATTCAGCAAATCTCTCATGCAATTACATACATTACATCCGAATGTCACTCGGCATCTAGATACCCTTTTCGTTCGTGGATGATGTTTCCCATAAGATCGGATGTTGGTCGCCAAGAAGGACATTTATCCGACCCGGGACCGAAGAAAAGGTTGAATGAGATAATGAATGAATGAGGGAGGTAATTGCCCCGTTCTGATTGTGGAGCCGAGTTGCAATTTGAATAATTACATTTGGGCACATTGACGTTAAGGATGCAGCGAAATTTCATATACGTTGTGTCCAAAGTGTGATATTATCGGGAATTAGGCGGGTGGAGTTGGGGGAGAGAGTGCAAGGAAGCGAGCTTCAGGCTATATCAAAACTCGGCTGGCGTAGATAGGTAATGTTCAAGCCTCGTAAGAATGGGTGAAGAGGATCTAAATATGGAAATCGAGACGCACCATGAAATTCCAGAAGCTCTGGATAGATTTCGTTGTTTTTGTGTCTTTGATACTGATATGGGACATCATGACGTGAAAATGTCATATTCACATGTTTGGCTTCTATCTGTTCGAAATTGAAAAACCTTGGATCAATATGACGAAACCACAACATATGATCCGAAAAGATGGAGATGATTGGAGAAGGTAGGGAAATGGGGGCACTCTTCGTGTTTGGCCTTTTTTTTTGGCAAATGTGGGTTTCATGAAGCAAGAGGCTTTCATACATTATCTTAAGAGCGAGGGCGTGTTGGTGACGATTAGCACGCGAAAATCGATGTACAAGCAAGAAGAGAATAACTGAGGACTGTTAAAATCTTAGGTAACAAGCTTGAATCGGATGGACCTGCATGGATGGCGTCTAGGTGTTACATGTGCTTCCTATGAGAATACGTATGATCTGAGGAAGCACTCGAAAACCTGTCATCAGAGAGATTACAGAATGCTGAAGCCGTCTTTTAAATTGGGAAGTATATAAAGGTTCGTAAAGGTTCGTGGAGATGATGTATCATTTCTGGCGTGGTCTGCATATGCCACAACTGTTGGTGATGGAAAGAAAGATTTTACTACGGTTTATCTCGTCTAATATATTTGTCTAGTAGATGTAAATACAGGGAATTTGTGGGAGACTTCTTGAATAGTGAAGAAAGTTGTGGAGAAAAGGTTTTTTAGGACCGTTTCTTTGTTGATATTGAGGCGTTTGTGTAGGTCCATTCTGCGAGGCAGTCATTTACCTGTCTGTCAGAATTTGCGGTTAAATGAAGCATACTTATACTAGTAAGGATGGTAACACCATGATTTCAAGGCTTTTGTGGCATATTAAATCTTCACGGCCTTTAGACGCGGCAGGGTATTATAGATGATGAACTAGACGGGGATTAAGTAATTGGGCCGACTTCAAATAGATCAATGCCGAGGGCAAGGCTCTTTAAATCAAATCATCCACTAGTTCGATTTGAATATCATGGTATGCACATCGATTGGACCCTCTTCATACGAATTGTTCAAGGAAATTAGCAGAACATACGAGGTCTTTGATGATTGAATTAGGTCATTGGAAAGACAAGACCTGCTAAGAGAGCCATCGGCTCTTCGGTCAATCAAGCACAATTACCTCGCCGAACAAAATGTCAGTTTACCGATTCACGGCTTCATGACTCGACAATGCGAGTCAAAAATCCTGAATTCCTTCCTTATCGCGCCTTTCTCGGTCAACGGTCGTAAATTGAGATTTTAATAATCCTTGCTCATATTTATGTACCTTGGCCGTCAATAGCGTCATGTATTTCATCCATGCCACATAGGAAAATGGTCGCGCATGGAGTCTCGGTCCTAGTTGCTCAATCACGTTACGGAGTAATTGAAACTCCCTCCGTCGATGATCAAGACCAATGACTTTCCCATGAAGCTTTGAAATATCAGGTGTGAGTAGTATTGAAGGAAAGGGCTTTATCCTGTTTCAAGTACAGAGTGTCGTAGATCGCAATAAAGTGCTTACTGTCGCATTTTGGTAAGAAACTGTAGATCCTGAACGGATGTGTCGTCACTAAGCTTCCTCCATCAAATGCACGGCGTGATATCCTTAAAAGTACCTCACCAGTACACCACGTGGCCTGAACCAAACCCACGCAGCTATGCATGAAATCCCGACGTGTATTCCCCAAGGATCCGTTTGAGATATTCCAATTCTAGGCTGTGTCCCATCGGATCGTAGTCCCGTTCTACCCTGGTTCAAAAGACCCGCGTGAGAGTATCAGCCTTCTCTTTATACCCTACCAGCTAGAAATGAAATGTTTTCCCTTATAGCCAGTGTAATTTCCCCTTGGCCGGTGTAAACATAGGCGATTGTGTCAACCCATGCTTCTGGGCTTGGTAAAGGAAAATCAATGGAATCACCTTTACGGATATGCCCCGATAGCATCAGAGCGGCCAAAACTGGGAGATAATGTAAAGCATATTCTATGTCTGCAATGAATTGTTAGTCATGACATACATTGTCATTGTACACGAGGCACTTACGAATCGGCACTGCCACGTGATTGGGATTGATCTGACGTCTGATATGGTGCGCGGTCCCGCGTCGATCTTGGATGGAAATTTGCTGCAAAGACAACCGTCGAAGCCTGCTAGACCTTCTAACGATTATTGGATCCCGTGAATAGTCTTGCTTGGATTGAGGCATTGGTATGCCGTCTCGTAATTCTCGAACGTCAACTTCTTTTTGAATCCAAAAGGGCTTTCGTTCGATTTCTCTAGGCAATACCCTCGCACGTATAATCGCGTGATCCGATATCCCGAAGGACTCGTGCACATCCTGTTCTTTTATCATTCCCAAGCTTGGTCGCCTTAGATTGACTGCATTAACGAAAGCATCGGCGGTGACAATATTTCCAAAATAAACGTGACCCCAAGTCTGCAAGCGATCATGGGTATACTCGAACGGGACACGATGTATTGAAGTGGAAGAAGCTGGTGCTTCAGAATGCCGCCTAATATCGAAGATGCTGAAATCCGATGATTCTTTTGATTGAATGATGAGGCATGTTTTAGATTCTCCTATCTTCTCATTGGCAAGTAGAATCCCTGGAACCATCTGCGATGATGGCGAATTGGGGGAGATCATACTTGAAGATGCTTTGTCCAATGAACGTGTGCATTTCGCCGGGGTCACCATTGTAGAGTGCCTCCTGGGGATTTGATGTGCTTGAATTAAGCTATTATGTCGCGACCAGGCATCAAACTTCCAGCCGATTGGTTTTTGGCATTGTGAGGCATAAGCTCGTGCTGCCACTAGGCTGGGACTGGGGAGTTGTGCGAGCGGGGATATGGACCCAACGCCCTGGGATGGAACGCTACGCTCACGCTCACGATTTCGCGCAGATTGCGCATGCAATTCGGGATACTGCAGCTTCTTATTCCGCGGGCGAAAGATCTCCGGCATGGTAGACTGGGCAGAATCCGGATATTACTTGAAGGAACACCCGAAAAGAAAGCAGAAACCTGATTAGAAATGACTAAATAAATTGAATAAAGGAATAGCAAGTTTGAATGCAAGTGCTTATGGTCGATCGCTTTTGTGATTTTAAGAGATATCAGTTCTATTGATGGATGGGGTTCAAAAAGAATCCCAAGAGCAAGCTGGCCAAAGAACTCGAATACTATATGATCTAATAGAAATCAGATGATATGGAGTAGCATTCTCGTCCATACCTACGTTTGCTCATATGAGACGCCAACTACTCACGTTGAAAGGAAATGAGTTACAGAATGTCTGATTCATAACATCCCTTGAGTCTCCCTACTCAGCTTATTAACATCAAAGCCGCTTGTAACTATGGAGAGATCTGTATCGCCAAAGGATGTAAGTTCCCATGGGACCCGAGACCTTCTCAAAACTGGGTAGCCGCAGGCTTTTGATAGAAACTCCGTTGAACCGAATCGCAGGCGTGTCTCAACCACACATGACCTGATAGGCCGGATGCGGTTTGAAACGTACACTCACGAGTGATTCTAAAGAATAGAAGCCACCAGAAAGATTGATGAAATAGCAGAAAGAAAGAAGTTGTTTCAAGTATCCGCGAGACATCTCATTGGAAAAGAAAGAATCATGAAGTAAATGTTTGAGGTGGCTGTGCGCTAGGGATCTAAACCGGTCAGAACTTTCTCTCGGTTTTCCCAAGATGCTAACTTCTTCAGAAACATGAATCATGGTCTTGGTCGAGACTAAATGCACTGATATCGTTGAAAGCTTTCGATGGAAGAGACGAGAAAAAAAATATGTCTCACAAGGTGTGAAGTCGGAAGAGTGAGGTGATGGATTTGGTGAACCGAGCGGCGGGGCTGTCGTAGCCACATTGCGTCGAATTGTCTGGCCTCATCAAAAATTATAACACAGTTTTTGACATTCTCATTCAATTGATTTTACAAGCCCAGCGTTGCCAGTATGTCGCGGGCAGCCGAAGCAGCTATGGCTGCTAGTTACAAAAGCTTGAAGGAGGATTTCGTATCAAATTTGACAGGTGGAGGAACTGGAGAAATTAATTTGGTTACTGCTGTCGCTCCAGTATGTTTGGGCAATGCAAACAATTATTATTGCACAGCGAGCTAACTTACTGGAACAGGTTGCAGTCATCCTTTGGTCGGCTTTACAGAGCCGCCAGCACTTTTTCGCCCCATACACTCCAATTGCTTTCGCTGTCGACTTCCTCATTAATGTCGGAGCTATTCTACTCGCGATTTCTGTCTACGCGGATATGCCTCTCATATTGAATCTCTTACTCCTTGCGCCAGTTCCATTACTATATGCAACTTCAACGCAGAAGACGACACAGAAGGCTACGCAAAAGAAATCAAGAGTGCCACAATCAAAAGCAAAACCTTCAGACGAATTGAATCCTCTTCCGAAGAAGCCTTTCCTTACCATCTATAGAGGAGCGATGTTGGTTATCACTTGTATAGCTATACTGGCAGTCGATTTTAGGATTTTTCCACGGAGGTTTGCTAAGGTAGAAAACTGGGGAACATCATTAATGGACATGGGAGTAGGATCTTTCGTATTTTCAGGTGGTCTTGTAGGCGCCCGGTCGATACTCAAAGAACAGAATGCTGGCCGAACAACGAAGCTCAGCACACGCTTATACAACTCAATACGCCATTCACTACCATTGATTGCTCTTGGGGCCATACGTTTATACAGTGTCAAAGGATTGGACTATGCGGAGCATGTTACCGAATACGGAGTGCACTGGAATTTCTTCTTTACTCTTGCATTCATTCCTCCATTCGTAGCGATATTTCAGTCCGCGTTTCAACTCATCCCGTCATACGCCTTGTTGGCCGTAATCCTCGGCTCCCTGTATCAAGTTGCACTCGAATATACCAGTCTAAAAGCTTTTATACTCACAGCTCCAAGAACAGATCTATTTTCGAAGAACCGTGAAGGAATCTTTAGTTTCTTTGGCTATCTCGCAATATTTCTGGCTGGTCAAGCAGCGGGGATGTTCGTATTACCACGCAATTCCATGCAGATTGGAGGTCCAGTTGCTCAGAGGAAACGCCTCTTGATGCAAATGGGTACATGGTCAGGAGTGTGGATTGCTCTCTACTTGTTTACGACGAATTACAAATATGGATTGGCATTAAGTGTATCACGCCGCCTTGCGAACCTTCCGTATTTTCTATGGGTTTCAGCTTTCAACTGCTCACAATTGACTGCTTTTTGTTTGGTGGAAACGATATTCTCCCCAGCGGCTCATAAAAGCACGGATGCGAAGACGGAAAAGGAGAATTATGAACTCTTAACGAGTCGAGTCCTTGAAGCATATAACAGAAACGGTCTGGCCATCTTCCTGGCTGCAAATTTACTCACAGGACTCGTCAACCTGACCATCCCAACTTTATTTGTTAGCAATCTCCAAGCTATGGGGATATTACTACTTTATGCCTCTGCCTTGACAGGACTCGCAGTAGGTTTGGATGTATATGACATCTCCATTAAAATGTAATCCCGGATGGAGATTGTTTAAGCAGCACAGTAATCTGCAATCTCGCTGAGCACAGCTTTTGCCTTGCAACTCCCCGTGCTTGATGAAAGCATCGATGAACCTTGTGCACAAACTTTGACACTTGATACCTGCTTCGGATGCTGTGAACCTGAATATATATCAATCGTACGGGTAGATGAGACAATGAAGCAAACAATGCAAAAGTTTCGACCTCAGCAATAATTTGATTCATATAGCTCTTGATTCATATATCAGAGCTAACTATACATCCGGTCGGTTAGATCGGTCCTTATTATCTACTTTATGAATAACCAAGTGACAGCTAATCAATCAATCGATCAATCAAGCAATTCCAGCATAAAACTCTACATTAATATATATTAACCCCCCAAACCACATTCTTAATTGACTCCGCACTCATCAGCCCGTCCGAAGACTTTATAGCTGGGGGGATCATCAGGTTTGTTTATCGTATCGGGAAGGATGCTGAAACAAAGCTACCTTGCACCTTTCACATGTAGGTTGACTCTCATCTGCTTGGGTCTTTGGGTTTTCTTTTATATCTCGATGTGTGATTCGTGTTTTCGAGGTGAATGAATGGGATGGAATGGGAGGGAGGGGAATGGGATGGTGCATGCATGCATGCATGTAATTGTAATACAACGTTGACTAGTAGTTAGGGAATGGATTATGGTGGTGGATTGTGAGTGGGTGCGTGGTACCTGAATCTTTCCTTGTTGGTATTGGGGTGCTTCTTTTTCCCGAGGGGGACTTGGATGGTTATGAATACCTGGGTATATACGGATGTGAGGTTTTGAATTCGAGTTTGGTCGATGTAGATGGATATGCCGTCAGATGTGGATATATCAGTAGTATATGATTCTCAGGTATTATAGCAATAACATGTAGTTGATAATGTACATGTAAATATCCTTATTTTGTATCCTTCTTCAATGTTGATATAATGCTTATATATCCACCTACCTACCTACCTGTATATGCAGTGAAACAATCCCGAAATAAGAAATGAAATAACTAAGATTTAAGGGTTCTTCGAGTCTTCTGTGGAGCGAGCGGTATCTAATTTGTTTCAGAGGTTGTTTGGGGGGAATTTGGTACTTTGTAGATTTGGTGTGTTGATGAATAGGTATTATATAAGTAGATAGATAAGATAGATAGATAGCTATGGAATTGTAAGTTTGAAGGTGTTTGTAGGATGGTATTTATATTGGTAGTTCTATTTCTATTCTAGAGCTTTAGAATTTGTATATGTAGGTAATGCTATGCTTCATCTGGAAAACAAATAGAAGATGAGAGTGAAACCTAGATGTCTATCTAGTAGGTAGGTAATAGATACTTAATATAGCATTGCGATATATGTGATCTGATATGACTTGACTTGATCTAGTATCTACCTACGATACCTATCTATCTATCTTCCTCCATATATTTTCAATCCTAAATAGTCTTCACTGATACACACACAACCTAAAGCAACCCATCAGATAAATACGCATACCAATCCATCCTCCAAATAAACATAGCACCTATATATCACATCATATATATTTCAAAAGTCTCCGGAGTACCTATCTCCCTACTACAATAGATAGGATAGACAGACAAATTTACACACAAAGCTCTGAAAATCATATTACTTGCATATCAGGAGATCAGGTAAGGTCGCTCGCTCACTCCTCGGTAAGGGAGGGGCGTTTATTTGCATCGGTTGCGAAAGATGGGCGCTTCATCTCCGGTGTTTATGCATGTCATTGTTTGATGTGCTAGGTAGTGGAGTGTACCATGACGGGATAGTATTTATGGGAAGGGATGAAGGATGGACTGTCTATTTTTTGTTTGTTTATTCTTGGGGAGGAGACGGGAGGGGTTTCATGGAGGTCTTGGGATGGATGGATAAATGGATCAAGGGATTATATGGTATCGTCGAGGATCGATTACCGTACTGTTTGTGGTTTATTGGGTCGAGAGTTGAGAGTCAGGAGGAGGAGATGAAGATGGGTCGCTGGACTTCGAATTTTGAATTGGAGGGTAGGTAGGTGGGTGGGTAGGTGTGTTATGGAGTACTTCATCTATCCACTCTATATTTATATCAATAAATGAATGAAATAATGGATACGTAGTGGAGAACCAAAAGATGGAGGATGTGTTGAGATGAAGATGATCATTTTTTATTTTAGAGAGAGAGAGAGTAATATGATGTGTATATGTGGTGATGCTGTGGCTGGGTTTCCTTGTTGATACTCGGATTAGAATATTTAGAATTGATAGAAGATAGATTAATCAAGGGAAAATTCGCCGATAATGATGATTGATGAATGATGACTTCATTGGTATCACTCTGTACGGTGTACAAATTCGATCCTCACTAGAATCTGGATTTACCGGTACATGAAGAGAGGTATTAGTTTACGCACGAGGGGGATCCTAGAATTTCAAGCGAGTCTGACAGACAGATGAAATGAAAAGGGACCAATAACGATCTGAATATTTATACACGGAACAGACTACTTACTCACAGACGAACAGACGGTCAAGTCAATCCAAAGAAAAGCTACCTCCCTACCAGCCTAGTAAGTCCCCAAGTACCATTCCAGGATCCGAGCCTGCCACGTCAATGCAAAGACGAACAAAGTTTTCAGAATGATGATATTTATGCCATTTGTTCACATTCCCAGTATGCATATGGATGGAACCACATCATCCCATCCGAGAATGGCATTTCGTCTAGGTTCCCCCTCATTCGTGGGTCCCGCGTGTGTCGTTCGAGGAGCGAGCTAGAAGGCTATCAGATGTTTTCTTTTGGGGGGGCTCGCTCACCGTTGGACTGGACTGGCTATGGCTGGTCTTTGTTAAGGTTTGGGATGGTGTCTAGTATGTTATGCCAGAGAAAACGCGAAGGAGACGCGCAGATGGTTGGGTGATTGCATGTTAAGACTAATGCTAGGAGGATATACTTCTGGGGACTTTCTTTTGTTCGTCTGATGTGTCAAGGAATGACCTGTTTCTTCTCTTCTCCATTCCCCTTTTCCTTTCGAGAGTGCGCATGCGAATGGGGATACTCGGTAGATAGATGTAATATGTAATATTGTATTTAGAGGACTATTCATGCGAAATGTTCGGGGGCGGTGAATTTGATAATAAGTTGATGTGATCCTCTTGTATAGCGATGTAAGGTAGAATAGAGGAAAGGAAAAGGGGAAAAAAGTAAAAGACATTCTTGTTCCTCTAGATTGAGATTCTGTCTGTGAAGATTGGATTCATTCTTTTTTGATTGAGTGTGTTCTAAATACCTACCTACGTGCCTACCTACTTCGCATTTTCGAAGTATCAAATTCGATATATCTCCGGATCGATCGCCTCCTTCATCCGTCCCATCTGATACCATTGAAAAGCCGAGGACGAGGACGAGGACCTAGACGCAGCAGCGAACGCGAACGAATATTTGATACCAGCCAGCCAGCTAGTCGTTCAATTGGATTCCAACCACACGATAGTGTTCTTACAACTTGCTCTATTTCTCTCTAGGTATGTTATGCATTGTCTCATTCGTTCATTCATCGTCTTCCCCTTATGGTTCTCGCGTGGTATGAATATCACAAAGTATCAAGCCATACCCTACATACCATACCAACACAAACAAACCAGCAACCACCGGTTTCTATTCATATCTCACGGGTGTCCAAGTCAAGGCCTTGAATAGGTCGTGCAAGTATGCATTTCTTCTTCGCCATCATAATTCCACTTCACCATCCCCAAGCTTGCCTTACCTTGTTCACGTTTCCCGCTCCGTTCATCAACCGCCCTAGGCTTTATCATTTCTCCTTTTCTTGACCAGTTTGAACCTCCCTTCCATGAGCCCCATTCCCATCCAACTTCGCCAAATGAACCAAAAGGAGATTACTTTGTAAAGATTGAGAAGGAAGGTTTTGGCTGACCCAGAGAAAGTTTGGAATTGGGGAATTACAGGGAACGTGAGCAGTGAGAAGAAGAACGGAACGAGAAAGAAGAGAAGAGTCTTTGTTATTAAGCTTAAGGGTTGGGATATCATATCATCGAGGGAGGATTTGTGGTTGTGGTAAGGAAGAAGAAAGAAGAAACTACCGCTTGTTGACTTAGCGACTGACAATAGTACCGTATAGTGTATTCATTGCATTACAGGACAGGACGAGTACATACGTATATCCAGCCAGACATACATACATACATACATACATACGTATCCGGAAAAGAAAAGGCAGAAAAGAGAAGCGTGAGAAAAAGGAAGGAATATTGATTGGGAGATAATAGTAAGTAATTATCCAACATTCACATTTAATTTTTAATTTTTTATGTCGAGGTTTTATCTATCCCTACCCACACGGAGAGTTTCCCTATTTCGTCTTCATACACAGACAGTATCTTCACCCAAGGACCCAAAGACTCAAGGTCTCAAGGACCCCAATACAGGGAACGTGGGAATTGCCAGCACCCACTCAGTACCCAACAGTCAAGATATGAATAGTCAATAGCCCAGCATCTAGCACCTAGCACCTAGTACTTAGCACCCAGCACCCAGCACCTAGCACCTAGCATTCAGCAGCATTCAGCACTCAGCACTCAGCACTCAGCCCGCATCCAGCTCACACCCAGCACCTAAATCATCGTCACATCTTATTTACAGAGTCCTACCTGGGTCCCTTCATATCACCATCTCATCAACCCAGTGTTACACCCGCGAAAGTGCGGGAAATCACTATAAACAAGCTTCTTCTATAAGCAGAGGGAGCATAATCTCTAAGCTTCATGCTCTACAGCTTTATGCTCCGGGTACAAGGTGCTTGATTATATACATCGATGCCGTCTAAAACAATCTGAACAATTCTCTCATTGTCTCTATTCACTCTTTTATTTCTATCCTCTCTATCCTCTCTATCCTTTCTATCCTCTCTACCTTATGCCTTATATTCCTGACCTAGGGATTACCTGATTGACCTTGTACC